CCTCTACCCCAAATCACCTTGATTTTTACGCCAAAAAGTGCCATTTATCGTGGCCGAAGCTAGAAAAAAGTAACAGAGGAACAAAAACCTTGCAAAGAGTACTATTGAAAAAATCGAACATATTACATGGTTTCCAAAAACATTTCTTTAGTGTGCTCGAGATCACAAACAATTTATTAACAATGAGGAAATATGACTAAAGAACATAAGGAAATTATTAAGCTAATTCATTCTAGCTTTTCAACACTACGCATTGGCGTTTTGGCGTATATTGTTCCTACGCCACTGAATATGGGGCATGAACAACTTGTGTGAACCTTAATTCTTCAAGACTAGTATGGGCAATTTGAGGAATGGGAAGAAGCATAGTCACAATGGAAGATAACTCCCCGCTATTTTGAGTCATGATTGTGACTTTGAGAGTCTGACCGATAAGAAAATTGAGCAAAGTGGACTCTTATATCACAATACAGATGTTACTTTAAAAACTAAACTTAGAAATATTTGAAAACATGAAAAATCACAGAAATTTCTCTACCAAATAGGTATTAATTAACCATACTTTTGGATCAAGTAAAATAAAAATGAATTCAAGTTTTTCTTGACCCGCTACGCCATTTGTCATGTTGCTATAGTAACAATAATTATCCATTGTGACATCATATGACAATGAAACTGTTTTATCCAACCCAAAACTATATTCTCCATTTACCTTGAAAATTTCAAGTAGATTGGTTGAAAAATAATGAAATGACAGATAAATTCCCAGAACTTAGTGATCACCCTGTATTAATAATAAAAACCCAGTGAATACATAACAGAATATTATGTCCCTCTGATTATATAGTCAACAAATATCATTTCGTGTTCCATAGTCGGAAGCTTGAAACAATCCAATTGAATTAGGTAGATATTAACCTCAAAAATAAACTTTGAAAATACATAATTACAGTATCGATTTACAGTAACCAAGTCGGTGTCGGGACTCTGTTATCGAAGTCGGCGAGTTTGAAACAACTCTATTAAACAAAACTTTCATTTTCATTTTATAATATATTTTTTATTTTTATGTACATATCTGCATATATGGAGGTCCTTACTAAACAATACTCACATTTGCATTTTAAGGACAGTATTGTCATGTTTCTGTTTCTGCACCCCATCCCCTCTTTATCTACCTATCACTAAGGGGATGGTGTGGGGGGGGGGTAGTTAACACATCCACACAGAAACATGATACAAGGCTACTGATTTCTGTACATTGTACAAAATTTCAATAGTTATGACAAATGTAAATAAAAAATGTATTGGTAAATTAGTGAAAGGTCGAACCAATATTAGATAATTGAAAGGTACTCTTTTTTGATTCTGGCTTTTAATTCACAAAGTCACTCCCATTTAACTGATAATTCACTTTTAATTGGAACTCAAGCGCTATTAATTGAAATGGTATCAACACGATGTGTTTGAAAAAGTTGATTATATCACGATCAGAAATTAAGGATTTCAGGTCTGGGTAAAATATGACATCAGCACATCACAGGAGTTGGTTGGGCATTGATGTTGCCTATTGTATACCACTTAATGTTGAGATGGGAGCTCTTTTCCATTTTAATCTATTCTGGAGATGGCATAACTAAAATGTCTTTGTATTAGCAGTTCAATGGGAGTGATGTAGTTCAATGGGGGTGATGTAGTTCAATGGGAGTGATGTAGTTCAATGGGAGTGATGTAGTTCAATGGGGGTGATGTAGTTCAATGGGGGATATAGTACAATGGGAGTGATGTAGTTCAATGGGGGTGATATAGTTCAATGGGAGTGATGTAGTTCAATGGGGGTGATGTAGTTCAATGGGAGTGATGTAGTGCAATGGGGGTGATGTAGTTCAATGGGAGTGATGTAGTTCAATGGGAGTGATGTAGTTCAATGGGGGTGATGTAGTTCAATGGGAATGATGTAGTGCAATGGGGGTGATGTAGTTCAATGGGGGTGATGTAGTTCAATGGGAGTGATGTAGTGCGATGGGGGTGATGTAGTTCAATGGGGGTGATGTAGTTCAATGGGGGTGATGTAGTTCAATGGGAGTGATGTAGTGCAATGGGGGTGATGTAGTTCAATGGGGGTGATGTAGTTCAATGGGGGTGATGTAGTTCAATGGGAGTGATGTAGTGCAATGGGGGTGATGTAGTTCAATGGGGGTGATATAGTTCAATGGGAGTGATGTAGTTCAATGGGGGTGATGTAGTTCAATGGGAGTGATGTAGTGCAATGGGGGTGATGTAGTTCAATGGGGGTGATGTAGTTCAATGGGGGTGATGTAGTTCAATGGGAGTGATGTAGTGAAATGGGGGTGATGTAGTTCAATGGGGGTGATATAGTTCAATGGGAGTGATATATAAATTCAGTGATCTCCTCTGTTTTCACCTTGCCAAAGACATGAAATAATGAGTGAAAATCCTAGTGGATCATTGAAATCATATCTTTGTTAAACCATTTGTCAGTATTCAATGCATGATTAGTATCCAAGATATCATAGCCCCTTTACACATCTCATGTGCTACAGCATCGGGGCCTGGCACACGGTTTGCCAAATATACATGGGGCCATATATCTTGGATGCTACACATGATTATCAAATTACAGTAAAACCTGTCAAAGTGAACACATCTCCATAGTGAACATATTCTGTCTCAAGGACATATTCAAATGACTTCTGTATTAAAGTCCCTCAATAGTGAACATATACCTACTTAGAAAACTATTCTGGTTCTAATAGTGTTCACTATACACAGGTTTTACTATAGAACAATATTTTCTATATCGTGCTTTATTATTTTGTTTAAATAGCTATTGTTACTAAAATATATGAAATATTGTAACACAGTATCAACATTATAATATACTCTTAAAATTCAACATTTGAGTTAAGACCTTAAAGTGCTTTTACATACAATATAGGGATAAATATTACAAGCTAGGTCAGTTTCTAGCTGATCTCTAAATGCCACAAAATGTCAAGCATTTATATGTGCATCATCAATCGACTGTGAGGCAAACTAACTTTTCTGACTAAATTGAGCTGAAACTAGCAAAATGGTGACTAAGGAAAGTTACACCAAGGGGAAAGGTTTACGAAGTGTCAACAGTGTCAAGATATAGGGACAGAAAATATTCTAATATTATTTTTCTCCCTATATCATGACATCAGACTCTATCATGAAATAACACAAGACAGTGTATAGAGTACAATAATATTGACAAATTCAAAATTGCAAATAATTTGTTTTACAATAACTGTTTACATACAATATTTACATGGCTCATAAATAACTAAGACTACGAAATACCTAAGACCGCCTCTAAAGTAGGCAAATATGAAAAAACATACACCTAAAATCCAATCTAGACTAATAAGAAATAATTCTAAATTCACAATGTTTTATGTTTAGAAAATGAAACAATAAGTTATAACTAAAATTAATTCTATTATCACTGGTCAGTATCAAGCGAAGGTTACAGCCGATGGTGGACGGGAAGTGTCGATTTCGATACTTCTTAGTTTTCATTGAATTAAACTACTTATAGTTGATGTAATGCTTTGATATTTGAGCTAAACCAGGCTAATATGACATGGAAACTGTGGAGAATGATCAATTGTTCATATAGTGTGCATAGCACCACAATTCAACGATATCTTCCACAGCTTAAGGGTAGGTTACTGGGATTTGGGTTTCATGACTGTTACCATATCATACATTTCCAGTCACCCTCCTTTAACCTCTTGAATACCCAGAGTGACGGATATATCCATCACAAATGAAATAAGACTGGTGCCCAGAGGGACGAGAAAATCCGTCACAAAATTTTTCACAAAAATTGCTCTCATTTGAACAATTTTCATCCAATTTACACAAAAATTGTTTTAAAACGTGTAGAAATGATCTCTGCCGTCCAATTTTACTAAGCTGAGCATCTAAAGTTGTATAGGTATGTAATAAAATGTCAAAAGGTGGCAAAAAATGAAAAATTCTCTGGTTTCATGCCAATTTTTGAGCCTGGGATTCAAGAGATTAAGCAGTGGAATATACGGGTTTCATTGAAATGTGGTGCATACACATATGAACAAATGATCATACTCCAGAGTTTCCATGTCATATTAGTCTGATTTAGTTCAAATATCAAAGCATTTCTTTGATACAAAGTAGTTTAATTCAATGAAAACTAAAAATATCGAAATCTAAACTTCCCGTCCGCAATCGAAGTGATGGCCGTAACCATTGCTTGATACCGATCAGTGATAGTAACCTATGTAACTCTGTCTATCTTTGAAGGTTACTAAAATTGTGTGGAATTTTAATGTCCCATCTATGTACACAAAAATTGTAATACTATTCCAAATATTGCTACCATTACAACATAGATGATCACAAATCCACAATTGCAAGTTTCATAGAATTTAAAGCCATTCCACACAAACTCACAGCGTGATAATGGAACGAATTGTGTTATATTCTGAATCCATTATGCATCAAAATTGTCTAATGTAACAGGACTTTCAAATAACCTCTATTCACAAATTAGACAAGTACAAAATATTAAACGTTTCTTGAGGTATATGAACTTATTAAACAGTCATTCAATCTTAGTAGGTAGTGAAATTCCTTACCAACCATGGCATTTACAATTTTCGCTATGCTTTCATGAATTTTTGCATCCACGACACATCGTTTATTACTAAGATATAATATAAACATGCTCACCTCCTTAATACTAAATTACATACAATTTCAACATGAAATATTGATTGAGATCATGTCATACAGGAAATGCATTTTGAATTTTCATCCATGCAATACATTCAGTTTTGCTAGCCTCAATGTAATTTAATGTAAATTAAATGTATATAATTCACAAATTTAATAGTGAAAATGATTGCAGTTTTCTGGCAGGTGAATTTGAGAAAATTGGAAAAAGGAAACACATTGTCACTTTACAGCTTTGCATCATGTAAAGATCAAATATGATATTTGCATTTTGCTGCCATCTTTAAATCAAACTAAAAGTAATTGGTCATCTCGCATTCTGCTCATCTTCCAAATATATGCTCAATTTTAACATTTCCACAACTTAATAAACTCATTGTGAAAGGATAAGGTCAATAAAATATCTCTTAAATTGTTTTCTTAAGAAGTGAGCTTAATTTCAAAACTTCATTTTTTCTTCATAAATCATTTTTTGAAGGGGGAGAAGACAAGGAAAAGTTATGAATTTAATGAGGTTTTCAACATGTCGGTATAAAGACAAGTCCCAACTTCAGTTGTATATACAAATTCAAATCCAATACTGCAATAATTCATCTACTGCTACGACCAGAACGCACCAATTTGGATCTATGAGCTTCTTCGTAAATCATAGCTGAAGGCAGTTTACGCTTCAACGATGTGAATTTTTCTCGACTACTCCTCCGTCGTCCAATCACATTCTCTGTAATTGCTCTTGGAATTGGCATACTATGACTTCTACGATGTTTTTGCATTTGAATATTTTCCAAACTTTTAGGATCTGAGTTTGGGGTTTTGAATTTGGAGGTTGACTTGCGGGATGACCTCCTAGGTGTCTGCTCCGGATCAACGTCACGCAAAATTGAGGAATCTACGATATTATTTTCAACAGGGGTCTCCTTTGGGGTACTGTTCTCCATTGATAAAGTACGTTTCTTCCCAGAGTTCCTTAATTGCATATGTGTTGCATTTTGGGTAATGGTCGGGGTGGATTTTGGAGCGCCACTTAGATCAGATATTGGACTTTCAGGAACAACAGTCTTTTTGGAAAGGTCAAGAGGTTGTCCTTGTTTAGCAGCAGTTTTGGACTCCGTTTTGCAAAACACAAGTGGTGTTTTCGCTTTGTTAATTAATCCTATGGATTCCACTTTCGAGACTTGACGATATTTAGTTGGTGTCAGGTACTTGATGGATTGTTCTGATTTCTCTAGAAGATTACTATTTAAGGTGATTTTTCTTCCAGAATCGGGGGTAGGTGTGACTTTCCTTACAAGTTTACTTTGGGGGGTTTTCCTGTATTTTGAGGGTGTCAATACTTTGACAGTATTTGTGGGATCCACAGAAGCACGCTTTGCGGCAAAATGCGCTACAGTTCTAGACTTACGAGGTTCTGAATAAGACGCTGGTCTAATCCCTTTCCCAGCTCTGTATTTCATTGTGTTCAACATCTGTGAATGGGATCTCGTCTCAACGGAGCATTTCATACGTTTGGCACTTTTAGGCCTTGAATCCTCATCTTCACTTTCCGTACTTGGGCTTCTCTTTGGGGTAGAATTATTTGAGCCACATGGAGTTGGAGATTTCACAGTATTGACTGTATATGAAATATCACTGTCATTTGCCATTGGGGTTTTGGGAGGATCCATTTTTTTGCTACCATAATAGAAATTATTCCTTTGCGTGTTGACGACATTCTGATTCTCGCAATCTTGAATTCTATGATGTTTTAGGTTTCTAGAGACAGTTATATGTCCCTTATCCTCCTGCTCTTTAGCCACGGCGGCAGCTTCAGCGTCAGAAACTTCTTCATCACCATTTTTAACCTCAATTTCTGCGACTGGACTCGCACCAGTACGTCCTGATTTTCCCCATTCATCATTACGACGTTTTATCATTTCCTCTCGCCAGCGCATGAGGCGCTGTTTCCTGGTCGGACCTGGGGGATCAATCATTATGACCATAGCTGTTGTGTTATCAGCTCGTAGACCACGCTCATTCCAGCGCTCTATAGCATAGTCTGTCAAAGATAGAGCTGGGTTAATCCAGAAATTAGGATCTCCCTGAAATCAAAATTGAAATTTATTTAACAAAAATACTTAAAAATTACTTAACATACGGCCAGCCATCAAACCATTGTAACCATGTGCAATGAATTGGTAAAATGCATGCCAAGTCTATCGATTTTCTGTAAGTCTCAAAATCAGTTGTTGAAATTCCTTCTACAATTAGTATACAAGACATTAACTTGCATTATTATATACCCAATATGTAACACTAATTCTGATTGGTCAATACCTAGTCACGTGTTCCAAAATAGTTTTACTATTTCCCCTCGAAAGTTATATTCCCTCAAAATGTAAAAAGCGGGAATATACATTTGAATGATTGCCCACTGACGTCACGATTGCAACTTCTATTACCCTTGGAAACGTCTGCGCATCATCATTGCGCAGACGAAAACAGAAAAATGGAGGATGAACACAAACACAAAAAATCAACTCTGTTCACCATGAAAGACGTGTGTGAACGATACAATATAAGCAATGTGGATAAAGTTCCCTAAGCTCAATACGTCTGTGTAATTTCAAGTGTTATGATAATCTATTTTGCGTGTTCAACACAATTGAATTTGTCAAGTGAGAGTCTCAGAAATTTCTGTTGAGCATATTATGATGTCACAGCTTATAATGCTAACAATGTACCCAGGGAGGGGGCTTTCTCAGCCTTTTTGGCCTACGCAGAAGAAACAGGACACAAATCATTATAGGGTATATAATAAAACAAATAGTGACTACCTAATTTCGAGCAATAGTGTAAATGATTTCCCCTTGGGATATTAGAGGATATACCCTCGGGGAAATAATTTACACTATTGCCCTCAATTGCAGTCACTATTTGTATAATATGTCACTACCTGCCATTTGTAACAGATGCAGACCACGGCCCGCTAAACACCATCCACAAAAAAGTTGGAGACTATAACTTTCACCACTTATGGTGGCGACATAATAACCAACAACAAAAAGCAGGTCATGTAAACTCTTAATAAAATCTGTCTTTAGTGGAATTGTTAGACAGGCAAATTTCAGCATTTATTATATAGTTAAAAGGTGGAAAGGTGACAGTTGATTTGTTGTCCCTCAGTAACTCATAATTTTATCAGTTAACCCCTTATGAGGAACAAACAATGATACTTACCAGTTTATAGACAATCCTTCTCTTAGTTTCCCTCTCTATGTAATTAACACAATCTACTGATTCATAGTTTCTGATCATGTTCCATAGGCCATCACTTCCTAGCACCAAACAGCGATCTTTCTTGGGGTCAAGTTTGTACGCATAGACATCGGGTTCTGGAGAGACGGCAAATGTGTCTTTGTCCCAGTCATAGCTCCATAGGTCACCTAGGAACAGAGAAAATATGTAACATTTCTTAAGGAAATACATCATTGATGACAAAGGTAAGTTTTTTACACTGGATAATGGTAACCCAAAAGTGTCCAGATAATTTGCTCAAATCACATCAATTAGACTAAAAAAAATGCCTGAAGTGTGGGCAATATAAGCTGTCTATTTGGACCTAAATAGTGTATCTTCCATATTTTATCATTTAGATAAACAAACAAGGTATTATTTACATGACACAATATCAACACTTGGGTATTGTTAATTTTGCAAATGGTTTCAGAAGTGTAACTATTTGTCACATATCCGACTGTTGATGCCTGTCACTAAAACAATATGTTACCCCATCTTCACATTTCATCAGGTCAAATTATTCACAATAGATTCTTACCTAAAGACCGGGCGACAGCCAAGAATGGAATCTTATCAATATGAGTGCTACGTCTGATTGGTCCTTTGTGATCTTTGGTTGGACGATTCCACACAACACGATTCACCCCAGATTTGGCTATAACTGCACTCCCACATTCTTCAATACGTCGGCGCTCCTCTGGACTCTCAGGTTTATGGTCCTATAAAAATATTACAAAATATTAAACATGACCATACACAATAAATCAAAAGATTCTTAAATATCAAGAGGTTTCACAAGCATTTTGAGAACAGTTTAAATGAGTGAAAACAACTGGCACAATCGATGTACAAGTTAACATAGAAACAGTCAAGAAATCCCCCCTCAACCAACAGATATTGGAATTAACAGGCAATAATTAGCTACGGCTGAATCCATTGACCATTGATGGGGAAAAAATGGTCAGATCTGACTAAAATTATTTACAACCCAGTAACATTGCCACCAGCAATGCATGGAGATCATTAAGCACATGTTCTTCATGAGGGTCAAAATTTATGCTTCAAATTATGCAACAGTGTTGTCATGTGATAGTATTAACAGATGATATCATGCAATGCAAATTAAACATAAACATGAATATATCAATCATGCTACCCTTATAGCTATCCTCTGATTAACAATTGGCATAATGAATATATTGAGGAAAATGCACAACCTTTATAGACTATATTAATCAGGCAATGGACTGTTTTAATGAATGTTTTAAATATTGCCTAAATGATGCATATTATTTGAAAACCTTAATTGCAACTTTTATGTAAACCAACGATTATGAATCTTACAATTTGGCTGACCACACAAATGTCAATGAGTTTCTTGCATAGACAAGCCCGGCTTTAACTGAAACCCAAGCATGACCTTAAAATGAAGAATTTATCATTTACAGTCAAGTAGAATAACAGTTTATATTTGGTTATAAGGACTACCTTCTTGACAACTGAAGTGAAGATAAAAAATTCTGCCATTTAGATTCTGTTTTGTTTTCAAAGTTTAAATAATTTTTAACTATGATGACTGTAGTTCAACCAGGTGTAAAAATTCTTGGTTAACAAAGTTCTGTACTACCTGCAACAAAAATGGTGCAGAAAATGGTGGAATTTATTTTGGATATTTGACTGAGAACCTTTAATCTTGTTGATTCAGAAATCTTTGATGAGCAACAATCTTTATGCTTCCCTTCATTGATTTCATACTATGCACAGCTTCAACCTTTAAAACATCACATCTAGCAAGGCATTGCACTATTGCAGCAATGTAACCACACGCAATTGCAAAATTGGAATTATCGTTACATGCACAGAGTACCAACCAATGTAACTGGTACCTTTAACAATATCACCCACTTTAATAGGGGTTTCATAAATCATAAATTTAGCATGGAAAAGTCCCTAAAAATGACAGGCGATTTAGTGAAAACAACCATTGAAAATCACCTGTTTCCTGCTGCTAATGAAACCACTGCAATTCTTAATTGATGACAGGGTCATTGTCAGAGGATGAGGACATTGTGTATTTGATGTAGAGCTCAGGGTTTATCATACTACAACTACAGTGTACTTTACCTTTGTTAGTTGTTTAGTGGTCATCCCAATATCATTTGGCTGTTCATGGTAGCCAAGGACAATTCCAGAATCACCGCAGTGGCCTATGTATAGATGGCAGTCACGTATGATACAGATGCTCGCTGTTGTACCAGCTGTACTTGGAAATCCACTGGCAGTCTTTGGCCAATTAGCTGAAAAATATAAAAATGCATGAAGTGAAGGTGAGTTGGTGTGAAGTCATATATTTCTCCAAGCCATTCCCAAGGAGTGAAGCTGAAAAATTTGGCAAAGTAAAGTTGAAACTTACCACCAATTCTGGCGATACAGAACAATAACTCTGGATCAGTGGAGAAGAATTTGGATGAGAATGACGATCATTCACCGAATGCAGTAAATGTTGGATAAATTGCACCATTAAATCACACTTATTAACAAATGTGCATGATTCAAGCAATTATGATATAATACAGTATATAGGTAGTTCTGTGGTAGCAATTATGGCTAATCAATAGCTTATGCATGGCTAATGTTAATTCTTCCATGGGCTTTCAATTCTAGTTGAAAGCCCATGATTCTTCATACCAAACATCTAAATTTTTTGAACAAGCCTTGCCATTTTTTGCCTAACTACAGTTTGCTCGTATGATCCAAAGTTTTCATAGGTTATCTGCGATATTACTGTAAATCGATACGTCATTGATTGACTGATAAGTTTACAATATAAAAGGTAAGTAAATAGACAAGTAAACACAAGAATTTAGACATGTACAGACTTATGGTTGGACTCATGCCAAAGTAGGTCACATTATCATAATTTATTCATGTTCATGAGGGTCAGGTCAGATAGTTCTAATCTTTAACAGGCACAGACCCATCGGATTGAATTATGATGAAACTGTAATAACAACAACATTGTATTGATAGTCAGTACATTACCAATGACATGATGACCTCCAAACAACAATAACATCAGTCACAGGACAGGGTCAAAGTTCAAAAAATGTACACCAGTGACCCGCCATATTTCAACACAGTCAAACTGGATGTTTATTTCCGCATTCAAAAGCGATCTCGTAAGTCGAAATACCACCATAGTATAATGTTGAATGAATGTAGAAGTCATCACTGATATAAAACGATTCGAAATAAGGCCATAAATTAAACAAATCTAAACAACACCAGTTGAAATTGGGCGCCAAAATTTCAACTTTTTCCAAGTGATCGCCCAGATCTACTTTATATAATCGATACTTACGGTGGTCTTTCCACATTGCCTGGTGGCACGACAAGAATCCATCTCTTATTGCCTCTTTGATTTCTTCATGATCAGAACTTTCGAAGCCTTTTTGACGTGTAATGTGATGGATTAAATTTTCCTTGGCAAATTTAGCAGCGGAATGCCCGCCATGACCATCGAAAACTCCGAAGTATGCAAACGTAATTTCCTTGGAGTCTTCTGCCTCTTCGAAGTGAACTGCGACCATATCCTCCATGTACTTTCGTCCCCCCTGATTTAGGTTAGAAGTAACCCGTAGATTCACCCCCAATTGAGGCATTTTGAAGCGTAAATTGGCGCTGAATTTACTACAGTGTCTTCTCTCTGACCTCCTATTTTCATATGCATACGTATTACAAAATCCTCATTTCTGATTGGTCAATTTTGTTCACTGCGCCTGACGTCATATGAGCATTCCTTAATTACTTTTCACAATAAGTTGACGAACTCACAGGGTTCAAATTTCTTACGGACCTGTCATTCTCAATATTATTGTTGTAATTCGGCGGGGCAAGCTGGATTTAATTTATTTCCCATGGAGAGAGACCCGAAGTTCTTGGCTTTGTGTGGAAGACGACTTCAACGAGCCAGAGGTTCCTCTTGGCAGAGGAAACAAACAGGAGGTACTCAGAACAGAAAGATGACACCATCATGGGCGTTCAACTATGCCCATGATGATGTATTTTCCGGGTGTATTTTCCATCTCTGTTCTCTTCGATACAACAAGGAGATACTTGGGGGTATGCTACGGGTGGGTATCATAATGTTCATATTTTCTACTTCCAAGTTAGTTATAGACAAGCCTTAAACTCTAAAATGTGAGTTTCCAAAATAGGGCCTGCTTTTATAATCCCTGTCATGTCTAATATTGGCCCATTAGGAAAAATAAGGTCAATTTATCTCAGTTTTACTCTCACATTGAGATACGTTTTCTCAGTATACGTAGTCCATGGTGCATGCCTTTCACTGACACGAGAGCTTAGAATTTTATTTCGTATGTTTTATCCCGGGGTAAATGTATTGTATTATTCAAGCAAGAAGACAAACCCTGTACATAGGGTTAATTTCAAAAATCGAATAACAAATACTCTTCGGAAATGTTGGATAGGTACGAGTAGTCGCGCAAAAGTTTATTATAAAATTTCGCATTTCTCACCTGTTTACCTTGTTTACATACTAGAAATAGTAGTACTATGTCTATGCTTGGCGCACAAAATTCCACACAGTGAGTAGAATAAAAGGGTCTCACAGTGACACTCTAGCAGAAAATCATATTTAGGGTAAGTGGGGGTGTTACTGCAAATTGGATAACCCGTCCTGACATCTATTTATAAAATTAAATATTGTTTTACATATAAGATTTCTCTCTATTCACAGATCTCGCAGCTTTCATCAAACAATCTTTATTTGACTGTGCCATAATGGCATGGCTAAATTGTGCTTTATTTACATTCCAAACAATGCCCGATTGTGATGTATTCCAAACAATGCCAGATTCTTTTTTATTCCAAACAATGCCTGATTGTGCTTTATTCCAAACATTGCCTGATTGTGCTTTATTCCAACGATGTATCATTGTGCTTTATTCCAAACAATGCCCGAATCTGATTGTGTTTAATTGCAAACAATGTCTGATTGCGTTTTATTCCAAACAATAATAATACCAGATTCTTATTTATTCCAAACAATGTCTTATGCTTAATTCCAAACAATGTCTGATTGTGTTTTATTCCAACACAGTCTGATTGTGCTTCATTTCAAACACTGCCTGGTCGTGCTTTATTCTAAAAATGTCTGATTGTGCTTTATTCCAAACAATGCCCGATTGTGTTTTGTTCCAAACCAATATCTGGTTGTGTTTTAATCCGGGCTCTTCTATATAGCAAACAATGCCTGAATCTGACTGTGCTTTATTCCAAACAATGTATAATTGTGCTTTATATTACAAACAATGTCTGATTGTGTTCTATTCCAAACCCTGCCTGATTGTGCATTATTCCAAACAATATCTGACTCTTCTTTATTCCAAACAATGTCTGATTGTGTTACTCAAACCATGTCTGAATCTGATTGTACTTTATTCCAAACAATGTCTGACTGTGCTTTATTCAACTTAATAATGTCTGTTTCTACAGTTGTGCTTTATTCAAAACAATGCCTGATTGTGTTTTATTCCAAACAATGCCTAATTATGCTTTATTCCAAACAGTATCTGATACTGCTTTATTCCAAACAATGTCTGATTGTGTTCTATTCCAAAGAAGGTCTGGTTGTCATACTCTTCTTTATTCCAAACAATGCCTGGTTGTACTTTATTCAAATTAATAATATCTGATTCTGCAGTTGTGCTTTATTCCAAACAATGTCTGATTGTGCTTTATTCAAATTAATAATATCTGATTCTGCAGTTGTGCTTTATTCAAAACAATGTCTGATTGTGCTTTATTCAAATTAATAATATCTGATTCTGCAGTTGTGCTTTATTCCAAACAATGTCTGATTGTGCTTTATTCAAATTAATAATATCTGATTCTGCAGTTGTGCTTTATTCCAAACAATGTCTGATTGTGCTTTATTCAAATTAATAATATCTGATTCTGCAGTTGTGCTTTATTCAAAACAATGTCTGATTGTGCTTTATTCAAATTAATAATATCTGATTCTGCAGTTGTGCTTTATTCCAAACAATGTCTGATTGTGCTTTATTCAAATTAATAATATCTGATTCTGCAGTTGTTCCTTATACCAAACAATGTCTGATTGTGCTTTATTCAAATTAATAATATCTGATTCTGCAGTTGTGCTTTATTCCAAACAATGTCTGATTGTGCTTTATTCAAATTAATAATATCTGATTCTGCAGTTTTGCTTTATTCCAAACAATGTCTGATTGTGCTTTATTCAAATTAATAATATCTGATTCTGCAGTTGTGCTTTATTCCAAACAATGTCTGATTGTGCTTTATTCAAATTAATAACATTTGATTCTGCAGTTGTCCTTTATTCCAAACAATGTCTGATTGTGCTTTATTCAAATTAATAATATTTGATTCTGCAGTTGTGCTTTATTCCAAACAATGTCTGATTGTGCTTTATTCAAATTAATAATATTTGATTCTGCAGTTGTGCTTTATTCCAAACAATGTCTGATTGTGCTTTATTCAAATTAATAATATTTGATTCTGCAGTTGTGCTTTATTCCAAACAATATCTGATTGTGCTTTATTCCAAATAATGCCCCATTGTGCTTTATTTAGACAGTACCTGGCTGTGGTTTATTCAAGAAGAGGTGACTATTGACAAACATGTCATTCTAGCTTTATTCCAGGCTACGTTTGACTGGTCCATGAGTTGTCCTCAGGTTCAATGCTTCCCTTTCAGTCAGTGCCAGCCAATATGCCATGTAAACTGATAATTAATGCAGATGACTTTGGCTACTGCACAGACAGAAATAGAGGAATATTAGAAGCCTTTAAAGATGGAGCTATAACAAGTGCAACTGTCCTCATCAATGCAAGAGATACTTCAGAGGCAATCACCATAGCAACACAGCATAACATTCCCATAGGTATTATCTAATGTTTGCATATGTATGCATAGTAGGATAATCCTATAGATTAGTAGCATTGTTTATGCTTTCATGAGATTTATTTATTTATTTGTTTCCTTTATTATCTGTTGAGAAAAAGCAGTCACTTGATTGCAATATTAAAGAGTATCATATGATTTTTGATAATTTGGGCATTTTTATCTATGATTGGATATAATCAATATCCCATATCAATATATAAAACACCTTAAAGGGCATATACAGATGTATCACTCCATAATCTATTTTTAGGTCTCCATCTTAACCTTACTGAGGGTTACCCAGTGTCAGTCACGTCAAGGTCACTCACTGATCCCAGCTCTGGGGCCTTCTTAGGAAAATCTGGAATCCGAGAGGCCCTTTTAGAAAATAAAATCAATTTTGATGAAGTGAAGGATGAGATCGAGGAACAAATAAAGTTGTTTGTTGATCTGAAAGGGGAATTACCAACTCATATGGATGGCCACCAGCACGTTCAAGTACTACCAGGTAAGGAATGTCTGGTCCGTAGCCAGAGGGGGGGGGGGGGGGGGTTGGGAATCAAGCAGATTCTCCTGGTCAAAAAGTCTTTCAAAATCATGCAGTTTTTCAACATTCCAAGCACTTTTAGAGTGATTTTAGGTCAAACTTTTTTTTTTAAAAAAAAACCTGGAATTTTTGTGAACCCCTTGGCAAAGGCTGACTATATGGGCCTGGTTGTGTTTGTATGGGAGGCTGTTAATCATTGGAGTAGGATACCTACATTTTTGAATATTCATATTCACTTTTTGCATGATTGTCAAAAAGCTCCCCCCTTGGCAAAAACTCCCCCCAGGTAAATCCTGGCTACGGGCCTGAAAGGCTACACTGTACTCTTAAGTATTTTACAGTATTACATACTTTCCAGGTATATGTGGAACATTAGCAGAGTGTATGGTTAAATATGGTATCAAAAAGACGAGAGTTCCTTATGAAGTTGTACTCGGTTCTAGCGGATGGATTGACAAGCCTCAGTTTCAGTTCTATCAAAGTGTCAACAAAGATGCTGAGTTGGCGGAATCTGTTTTCAGAAACAAAGGAATAAAGTTAGTATTGCTGTTGGCTAAAATATTTGATTCTGTCCTGATATTTTTATTGTTGAATTCACTTATATTCAGTGATGGACTTTTTTATTCTGGGCTTTAAAATGGACTTTTTCCAATACACATAAATTAATCTACTGCTTCTGCAATTGTTGGAACACAACTCAATAACAATGTGCGCAATGAGAAACCAATGATTTCTTATTAGCCATATTCTTGGATATGGCTAATAAGAAATCATTGGTTTCTTCATCCTAGGCCATATTACATATAGAAGTTTCATAAATTATCTAAATTAAAAATGTCCAAAATGTGCATTTCATCGATGGATGTTTATACATTTTTAGCTTTACACATGGATTTGTTGGCATGACAACTATGGGTTCTGATATGACAACTGAGAGGCTGAAACATGCAATACAAACAACATGGCAACAACTTCATCAAGAAAACAATGATGCTCAAAAATTTCAACAGGAATATACTGTTGCTCAAAAGGATAATCCAATTCAGGATGACATATTTATAGAGCTTATGGTTCACGTTGGATACCCAAGTAATCAAAGTAACATCATTTGGAGTTCAATGCAGAACAAAAATGGCGTCACATACAAGAATGAACCAATCAGAAACAAGAATGATGGTCCTGATGAGTTTTCTTTATCAGCCGATCGAATTCATGAAAAAAATATTTTATCCAGTAAAAACATGAAAGAGTTTTACAAAGATAACAACATTGAAATGGCTTCATTCATTGACCTCATATAGCACTGTTAGTACTTCAAAGTATAACACTTCAAAGGAATACATGTACTTTCATTCAGTTTTGATTGATAAAAGAAAGAAAGGTCAATAGTTTTGACTGTTGACTATTAGAAAAAGTGACATTAATATCACTTTTTTTAAATGTAAAAAATGAACCTCACATTACATTGATTACAGTGCCATCTATCATATAAAAATGGCAAAACCAGCAAACATATGTTGATAATTTTTTAAATATTTATTAGCATATGGGTATTATACACAGACTTGGGGCAAACTGTACACATCAGTGCCATCTATTAGCAATACTTTACAACTTTATACAAAAGCAAACACAGCTTTAAATTACCAGTGGTGTGCTAGAAGTTCGACCCAGTTTAAGGAAACATTTTGAAATTTTAAAAATAAATATTCAGGGGAGCGTTTCCTAATTTTTGAACTAGGAAATAACTAAACCTTTTTGTGACCATGAAAATCATGATGTCATATATTAACCTAATTTTTGATCAACATACCCCTGATTATTTCAAGTTGAAACAAGGGCAAATGATACAACAAAAGGTTCAGATATAAAAAACATAGGTATTTTGAAGCAAAAACTGAACATGATTTTTTCTTAATCTACAATTTTAATAATTCAATTACTTGCAATTCAGTAATCCAATTCACCGACAGTGTGACTCCAGTATACACTATTACATACTGTACTACAAGAGAATTTTGTGTGATTTAATTTCACAATTTCACCAGTTTTTGCACTGATTTAATTTTGCTATTTTACCCCAAAATAATCAAGATTTTGGACAATTTTGTGATTAAGACACAAATTGAAAATAACTTGCACACTCATTATTCTAGAATCACAGAAGTTATGAATTGCTTATCATTCAATTAAAAAGAAGTACAATATGAACGGAGCACCAAAAGTCATTCATATCATCTTGTATACAATGTTACATGTGTATTTTCTAAAACTGGAAACTCAAAACATGACTTTTATTTCAGCTTGGCCTTTTTGCCAAATTTTTATCACCATAGAAACAATGGACTCTAGGATACAGATTTATGCCTGTACCACATAGGGATTGATCATTTTCAGTTTTAGAAAATATACAGTATAGGGTTTATACATTACATATATACATACTGACTGCTATATTACATTTATTGTACAAACCCAGGTGAATCAAATCAGCAAGAAATCTCAGTAAGGAGGGGGGGGGATTTCAAACCAAGGAATACAGGATCTTGTCAGACCCCCTTAAAAAATTATGAGACAATTTTTTCAATAAATGAATACAATTAATACAAAAATGACATTAGAACTTATAATGATGGGGGCCATTTCTATAAAATATTTTAATGATTCATTAATTCCTTTCAAGATATTATATGCTAAAAATCAGAAATATTAAACATTCACAATATTTCTCAGAAAATGCCTCTGTATAGAACTTATATAGTTTGTGAAAAATAGTATTGCTTTGGCAGTGGTAAGATTTTCAGAGCTGAAATATAAATAAACCTAAACTTTCAGAGCCGAAAAGAAACCAGATTTTCATAGCTGAAATGACCTGAAAAATTCATCTTTGGATCATCATTTCTTAACTAAGCTAAATATTTACAAAAATACAGATCATAATAAAAAATTATAATTTACAAAATTGTTGAATTTTCTCGTTTCACTGAAAATAATCCACATAGATCATATATATAACCTACTTGTATTGCAACTTCGGGTCTAAGTATAGCAGTGCCATCTATTCTGTGATTTCTAAATTTTATCTAAACGTTACGAAACATTTTCTCAGACTTGGGGGCCATTACAGGTTACTTAAATACATAGCCATGAAATAACACTGTAAAACTAGAAACATGTTTTTCAAAATTTCACTATAAATGGTGATACAGTAAAGTGAATTTTCGAGAGGACGCCATTTTCAAGAACATTTTTGAAAACCAGCATAACTGCAAAATTTCTACTTATACAGTATTTAATCACATGCATACAATATTGAAATTAATATAGATAGGACAAATGGAATTAAGCATATGATGTCCACTTGAATTGTATAATTGAACAACAATTTTATTGTTAAATTTCACATTTAAGTTCTACTAAGGCTACACTCATGATGGCTACAGGAAGGTACTATTTGTAATGTTCTGAACATTCTATTGTGACTACCTGCTATGTTACCATAGCTACCACTGCATATGGAATAAGAGACAATGATAGAATTATTTACTTGGTGCAGGTACTAGTGTATTGACGCCTATCTTGTATGGAGTAGCGTAAAGAAGGCAATGCTACAAATACATCAAGTGAATCTCTCCTAGTATTGAGATGCTAGTATACATATCTGGATGAGAAACTACATCGAGAAATGTTTAAACCTTGCTGATTGAGAAATTGTTACCCTATGTTGCAATGTTGTAACTCCATGTTGCAATGTTGTAACTCTATGTTGTTACACTATGTTGTAATGTTGTTACGGTATGTTGTAATATTGTTACGCTATATGACATACTGCAGTTGAATGAATAAATATTAGCGTATAGTCTTATAACAAACCTTTCGTACCCCCCTAATCTTAAACTCCCAACTCGTAAATATGAGAACAAGTGGGGAGAGGGGATCAAGAAAAGGGGGTACAAAACTTGCAGTGAGACTTCACTTGATACACATCTATCGTTCACAATTACATATATTTTATTATAACATCTATGCAATTTATGAAGTTCTGATTTTTGGGTATATTTGCCATTATGCTTCCCCCACTCCAGAAGTTTTATAGTTCATATGGAATGAAATATATACCTTTCATTTTGTACAGTATATATGAACAGTGTCGAAATAAAAATAAAAATTCACATGGGTGTCATCTCATTACATAAGTGTCACATTTTCCAATATCTGTAAGCCTAACAAAAAGTTGATGATATTATGATTTTCAAAAGATTGAAAACAATTTTTAGAACAACTAAATATGTGTGATAATTAGGGGAATCAGAAGACAATATGATGTTTAGACCAGGGAGAAATCATTGCATATACTGTATGCCTTTACCTATTAAAATTTGTCCCTTCCATGTCGACACCCTGATTTTACTGCATTTCCTCTCAAATTTCCATCAGTTTTTCGAAAAAAATCAGACATGAAAAAGATGAATTTTCTCGAGACAAGGATTATGATTTACTGCAGCCTTAACAATCTATTGAAAGCCCAGTTGAACATCTCAAGCAACATATATAACTGATATATATGGGCATTTCAAGTTTCATATAGAGTTGATATACATGAAGATTTCAAGCATCATATACTGTAGTAGGAATATATAAACATCAATTTATATATTTTAGACATATAATATTATATGGATGATTACATTTTAAATTTGGCTATCCATCTACGAACATTCTATTAACAATTCCATACCAGCTTCTAATTCATTTGTTTTTCTGAAGAGGCCAATACCCAAAGTCTCCAGTAATATTCCATTTGTGTCTCTATAGCTTAAAAAAAATTGGGAACATATGAATGTTTTCAAGAAGAATGGTCATCACTGAGGTATTCCAGTACATTACAGAGCTCATCCAGCATAATACAGAGTTCCTCTTGTACGTTAAAGAGCTCCAGTATAATACAGAGTTCCTCCAGTACAATGAAGAGCTCCAGTATAATACAGAGCTCCTCTTGTTCAATATAGAACTTCCTAAGTATAATACAGAGTTCCTCTTGTTTAACACAGAGCTTCTCCAGTATAAAAAGAGCTTCCTCAGTACAATACAGAGCTTCTCCAGTACAATAAAGAGCTCCAGTACAACACAGAGCTTCTCCAGTACAATATAGAGCTTCTCTGATATATTATAGGTTCTCCAGTACAATAAGAGATTCTCCAGTACAAAACAGAGCTTCTCTAGTACAATAGAGAGCTTCTCTAGTACAATACAGAGTTTCTATTGTACAAAAGAGATTTTCCAGTATATGGGGATTTTCCAGTGCAACAATTAATGTATATTACAAACACAATTTATTGATTGAACATGGATTTATTTCAGTGTTTGATTAAAATATTGGCATTCCTATCATAGTCTGCTATCACAATCCTCTTATATTTATCGAAAACACCCCTTTGCTACAAATGAATTTGCCCAAATTAAGCAAAATGGGCAAGTTTATAGTGTAGCTGATGATATTCTAGGGGTGTGAGGATCTAACGTTTCGCTCTCCTATTCTATCACGATTCTCTGTGCAATTTTTGACAAAAGTCAACTCCACTATAATTATACATGTTTAGGTCCTCTTAGCACATATATTCATTTAGCTGTATGCTTGTTTCCTGGCTTAGCACATGCTGCCAATGAGTACATGTCTAGCACGATGCAACCTAGCACATGTATACCATCTAGCACATGTCACTGATACTGCCATCTAGCCTAGTCATAATAAATTAAATTCTTGGAGGATGATGCTTCGCATTGAATTCAATGTTAATCCCTAGTATGGATTAAATCCGTAGATTTAACAGGATAATCCATAGATTTACCAGGATAATCCATAGATCTGACAGGATAATCCTTGATAAAGTTCCTCATAGAAATCCCTCTCTGAGATATCCTTCATTTTGAGATGGTGAATTTCTCATTAATAGAACATTTTATGGGCTGCTATAGTGTCCAAATTTGAATTTTCTTCCGAAAACACCCCTTTACTACAAATTGATATGTCCAAAATAAGCAAAATGGGTTAGTCCAACTGTGTGGCAGACAACATTGCAGGGGTGTGAGGATTTAACTAGGGATTTCATGTGTTGAATTGTTTGATATTCCACATTGTTTATCCAGACTTCATCCTCCAATCAGAAACAGTTTCAAAGTGTAATCTAGCGGCATTCCCAAACTTTAATGGTTTGATCAACACTACCAGTAATAACATATGGTGCCGATTGATGGAAATCTGAAATGTAATAATAAGGAAATTATAGAAAATTTGATACAGAGAAAAAACTGTAACTAAAAATCAATTTTCAAGTTGAGAAATAATGCTATCTTGAAAACTGCATAATTTCTTTACAAATTAGAAATGAATAAATGTTTGTGTTATAATACACTGAGGAAAAAATATCAATAAAAATAATACACAAAACAATAAGAAACATTATAAGAACATCTATTTACTCTTTTAAGATCTCAAAACCAAGAAAAAATTCAAAAATATTTTCAGGAAATTCTCCACTGCATTAATGCAGCTGAAAACAAGAGGAAAACAAATCCCCTCAAACCATACCTAAACATGTGGTAAAGTGCTGATGCGCTTCTATTGTTTTGTTATTTCTTTTATTCTTAATGTCCCACATTCGTAGAGTTTTGTCGTCCGATGCACTTAGAAGATATTTTCCACCAGGATGCACTCTAAGTCCTCTTACCCAATTGTCATGACCCACCTAAAATAAGATTTGAATTTACAATGAATCACCACATTACAACTACATGAGGTGTATTTTAAAACTGTCGCATTGTTACTAAATTCGTAATACTATGAAATCTTATTTTGTTAGTTTTACTATATGAAATCTTATTTTGTTTCAAATGTGATGCTCTTGTAATATAGACAAACAACCACTCTGTTTACACTAATTCCACTTTTTTCTTTCTCTATTTCAATTCCTTTCCTTCATAATTTCTACTTTAGAAAATATAACTTACCAGCGTAAAGAGACACATTCCACTTGCAATGTCCCAACATTTAATTGTTTTATCTCTAGATCCGGAAAATAGGTAAAGTCCAGCTATGCCTCCCTTCCGAGACTAAAAATTAAAAATTGAATCAATGTAAAAGTCAGTTATGATGATGCTTAAAATATGACATTCTTTTTTCTGTTGATGGTGACATATAATTTGAGTATTAGGTCAGGCAAGACTCTTCAGTTCAAATACTCAACTAACCCAATTGCTTCTTTCTACAACGTATCTGCCTTACAGATGAAAATTTTTCAAATCAACGAGGAAGCATGTATTTTATGATCCATGAATACTCACATCTACGCCTGCAGCTTCAAGTACATTAGAGTTAGCTGATTCTGGGGCCCATTCCACACATTCTACGACATGTTCATGTTCTCGTAGCTCTGCCTTACATTCCTTTGTAGCTATAACCCACACACGAACAGTCTGAAAATAAGAAGTATATGAATCCCGGTGACTTTCATCAATTAAATGGACAGTCTGAAAATAAGAAGTATATGAGTCCCGGTGACTATCATTTTTCATATCAGAACTATACAAAATTAGATAATCATCTACTTCTCCACTTTATAACTTCAGTATATTTATGTACAAATCATGCATAATCCCTCACTCATTGCATAATCCTTCACTACTATATAATATAATCATCCACTTCAGACCTGAGCATAATCCTCAACTTTAGAACAATGCATAATCCTCCACATTACATAATCCTTCACTTAAAAACGATAAAAGTCCTCTACTTTAGAACTCTGCGGTATCCTCCAATTTAGAACTTTACCTGATCATTAGAGCATGATGCTATGAGAGAGCCATCTTTATTCACTCGCACCATCCTAACCCACTCTCTGTGGCCAGTGAATGTCTTCACACAGAACCTACAACAAATGCAAACATTGTCAATACGTATACATATATAATATGTAGCTTTTATACCAAAGATTTAATTCTCAATTTGGTGTGTGGTTATGTCCAATCTCATTTTCACAACTTTACCAAAAATTCTCATTTAACAGAGCATGCAAAATGGTTGTCAACTACTGGATGTAATCCTATTTTTCATAATTCTGGGTAAAACACTGTCTCGAGATTCTTATAATAAGTGACCAGTTTATAATACCAGCACTTTAACAGGCCCGTACCCAGCTTTTGCCAAGGGGGTTTACTTTTTAAAAGTTCCAGGGGGTTCACATTTAACCATTTTGACCCAAACTTGAAAAGTGCTCAGAATGATGAAAAAACTGCATGATTTTGAAAGAATTTTGCTCACATCCCCTGAACCCCCATAGCTAGGGACTTTAAGCTAGTTCGACAAATCTTAGACATCCAAGATGCACTCTATGAATAAAATTCTGTCTAATAATGTTCTATCTAATGATCTAATCTTACCCAGATGCAACTTCCCACATTTTGATGGTTTTATCTCTGGATGCAGATATGATGTGATCTCCACTAGGCATGAATGTAACACTAGAAATATTGTGGTCGTGACCTAAAAAACACAAGCAAAAAGACACTGATAAAAATTGCACTTTGAAGATTAAAATGTTGTCCGTGTAACTTACCCACCATGGCCAAAAACTAATCCGATCGCGGCAATAGTTTTCTTTTGCATCTATAAAGTTGAACAGTTATGCAGCTTTCCTGAATATTGTATATTATATTGTACATCTAATTAAAGCTTGTATGAATGTTCAAAATGTTTTTTTTTATGTCATAGAAACAGTCTCTAGCAGATATAGCTACGGAACAATATACCATGTTAATTTTTGTTTTCAAATAACAGGAGATTTTCATAATCTCAAATTATTAAATTAAACATGTACCTATGCTCTATACTCACCATGCATTGTCTTAACACATTCATAGCCATTAAAGTCCCATAGTTTTATAGTCATGTCTGCTGAACAAGATGCTGCAATCAAACAAAAATTCATAACTTTAGTAGAAAACAAAGTACAGGGTGTCAAATAAATATGTTCTCCCCCCTCAACTTTAACATCCACAAAATGTACATAACTTTTTTTGTCTCTATAATATCTGTATTGTTCTTTAGCACCTTAAAACTAGACCTCATGGAGCAACTCTACAAGAAGTTTCAGATATTTAGCTCAACTAGATGCACTTTTATGCACAAAAGTTCAAACTCTTGAAATCAAGGGGGAAAACATATTTATTTGACACCCTGTATATAACATAGTAAGGGTCCTTTGATGCAAAAACATTTGATATTAGGTAATATGTTGTCCCCCTTGTTAATGGATAAGAAGTCAGCACTCAATATTTCAAAAAATCTAGTAAATGAAATGGTCTGTCATCAATGTTAGAGAAAAAGTTAATTTCAGTTTTTAATGTATTTCAAACTACACATAGGCCTAGCTTGCAAAAAGAGTTGGTGAATGTGTTTAACTTCAATGCTTACCTAGCCATTTTCACAGGTTTTACTTAAAAAATATGTTCAAAATGAACAAAATTAAAGTCAAACAGTGTAACAGATAACATTGCAAGGATGAAAGGTTCATTATAAATTCTTACCTAGCCATTTGCCTGTATGGTCAAAGCTCAGATCTTGTACAGAATCTGTATGCCCTTTCAGTGACCTTTCATAGTCCCCAGTTTCATAATCCCAAACCTGAAAAAATGGATAATTTATAGAAAATGTTGACTAGGAAATGGTTATTCATAGAAATGTTGACTAGGAAAGGGTAACTCATGGAAAATGCTGAACAGGAAATAGTAATTCATGAAAACATTGGCCAGGAATGGTTATTCATAGAATGTATTCACAGTAAAATGGATGACTCCTAAGTCAATTCCTGGTACATATTATTGTAACAAGTGATCTTTAAGCTTTCCTGTATTCACAAAAATTACATGTAACTTTTGTTACTCCTTCTTTTCTGCAATAATTAAAACTTAAAAAATATCCTGTCAATATATTCACTTCAAAAAATTCTAAATGATTCCAGGGGTGTCTAGAGATAACGGGTCTTACCTTAATTGTGGCATCTTCACTAGATGAGACCATTATACTAAATATGGGATGAAACACAACTCTAGTCACGGGACTTCGATGTCCGCTTAATGAATATTTTTCTGGTGGTCTAGGGATCCAGTCTGTTGGGTTACGTTTTTCTCGTGTGGGGCCTCCGCCTTGATTAAATTCTTTTTCGGCTTCTATAAGTTTTGCCTCTAAATCCATGACCTGAAACAAGATATAGAGTGATAAATATCGCACTTTGAATAGCAAAATGGATGCTAAATAATTTTTTCTTGTAGAAACAGTGATCTCCCCAGCATTAAAGCAAGTGGGTGCAGCACCCACCTGAGATTTTAAAAACAGGCTTGCACCCACTTGAGATTTCATTTGTACACACATGAAAATGAGAAAAATATCAACAGTCGCAGAAAAACGAAGTTAGTTTGTTAATGGTTTGAACCCCTACGCCACATCTATCTAACGAAACTTTAAAATGTTGCATTGCCTTTCACTTGAATATCAAAAACATTTTTCGCTATCGAAACCATAAAAACTAATTTTATCCAATCCACAACTGTTGAATTTTAAATAATCCCTTACTGGTCAAAGAACATTAAGGTTCAGTCCCTGGCACAGTAATTTTAAAACTGATCGAAACAGATGGGGTACAATGAATTTAAAGGAATGTTACCTTTTTCTGCAGTCGTATAACTGACGTCCATTTTTTCTCGAGCAATCCAGCATATTTATTCTCTAATTCTGCAGGCTGAAAATATAAATATAAACTTTCTGTTTAGTTTATACTTTAATTCAATAATTGTTCAATTATCTTAATTTTTTTATATTATGTGTACATGTATATTACATCAATATGCATCTGGCCAAAACACAACATACAGAGTCTAAAATACATTTCTCTAGGTGGATACATCAGCATGGTTGATTGAGCCAGCCTCTCTGATTGGTTAGCCAGGTTATAAATGATTGGTCATTATCAGAGAATGCCATAATAGCTAGCTTTATAAACTCAGTGTCATTATGTTGTTATTAAACCATTCCCAAAATAATTTTATAACTTACATATAATGATCATGTCAGAATTGTCAGTTGGTTACATGCAAAATGTCACCACCATTTGTTATATTTTTGGTGGTGACATAATTATACAATGAGAAGTATTTAGTATTCGAACATGACTGTATTCAAACCTTCTATAAATTTGAACAAAGTCAACATTTCAACCGGGCATATTCGCGAACATACCCCTGGTGATACAAGTAATGTGTGACGTCATAACGGCAGGCAGTAGTAATGGCGGACCATAATGAATATTCGAAACATTTTGGTGAGTTTTCATGTTCGAATCGTAATATTAACCTCAGAGCAGGGGTAATGTCGTCGAATACACCCCTTAGGGCTAGGCACAAAAGCTTTCGAACCCCCCACTCCCTTCAGTCGTTTGGGTTACAGAAAACGTTTGGCCTAGCCCTGCGGGGTGTATTCGACGATATTACCCCTGCTATTCGGTCTGTATTTCTTAATTATCATATAAAAATCGACCCCATTATAGTGATTCTTAACCCTGATGTCTTGGATGCACAGCACTTTTATTTTTTGATAGTTTTTGCAATTTTACTACCTTACTAGCTTTTTAACACATACATGTATGCTGCATTCATTTTGGTAATAATAGTGAATATTGCCAATTAAACAAATACTAGTCTAATAGTAAAACTTCAACAAGTAATTAAATGTAGCTAGGTATAAGTATGCATTCTATTTGATATTCTCTTATTCTTAATCCGATAAATATTTTTCTGGACTTTGAACCAACACAATGAACACATACACCTGCTCATCTTTACGAAATATTGTCATTAAGTAGGATAACCATCTTATTAGAAATGAAATATATAGAATTAAATCCATCATTTATTTAACACTGTTCTTCCCAGGATTTTGTTCAAGTAGTACCCTGCTTGCAGAGTCTAGTTAAACTACACTCTGCCTAGTAGAGACCATATTACAGTTTAGTAGCCCCTCCACACGACGGGTACCGGTGACAGTTTGGGTAAATCACTTTTGACCTACGCGCTGACCTTCCACCAATCAGCGAGCTTGAAGAAACATACGCCAAATGCGTTCTAATTAAACATGCGCATGACATTGGTCAATTCCAGGCTCAACGATGACGTCAGAAGGAATGACCATATAAAGAACGTCGGACAAATTTGGCCGACGAACACTGATTGGCGCGGTGAGTTCACAGGTTTATTTTAGTTTGAAAGAGTGAAGACGAAGCTCTTTTTTAAGAAGTGAAGTCAAACGAATGCAAAGGGTATTCAAGTAGGTGCAAAATCCTCATTTTCTCAAATCTGCCCAAAATAGTTAAAAAATATGTTGCAAATAGACTTTCAGTGGGGGAGGGGTACATGTTTATTTCAAAAATTTACAGTAGGTGCAGCAGTACCAAATTGCTTCCATACTGGACTGAAACACCACTATATAGAAAACATTCATTCTATTTACCAATATATCTTGCTGTATTACATACCTAGCGAAGCATTTGCATGGAAGCCCATGTGAACGTTAGCGGGCTATATCAACCGATATTGCCCAATTACCCCGATATAGTCCCCTTACCCCGTTTTGATATTGGATTTTTTAATAACCATGACAATATCACAACGTCATGTTCCATTTCGATCAAATTCTAATCGCACAAAGATATGTGATGTCATTGATAAAAAGTTGCCATGGGAATAAAGGTATGTAATTCATCAATGTGTCACTATAACATGAAATATGCTTTCGTTCTTGCCCAAATATAGAGCCTCCCAAGGTCGGCCTATATCGGGAGAAATCAGGCATATTTCACATCATTGTGACATAACGTCTCAATATAACCTCACCTAGCTCTGATTTAACTAGATTTCACTGTTTAATTGGGTGCCTGTAAAATAATACAACATCGCCTAGTGCTAACATAGCTAGGTTTAACTGTAGATTGATGCACTGCACATTGTATCGATCTACTACTTGCTGGGAATGATCATTCTGATCTTGAATATCTATAGACAACCCCATCCCTTGCAGAAAATCTTGTCTACTGACCTTATAAAAAGCAAATTATGTCCTTCAAAACAAGAACAACTCTAGTGACTATCCCCTAAGAAAATATAATCCATGAATTATCAAATAACTCTACTTAGCATATATCTCTAGAGAAAGTATTTATGAACATTAGAAAATTAACATATTTCCTTGTTATTGTAACATATTGTATCGCATTATCCTTTTTAATTAAATCATATACATTTATGAAAAATGGTCGAGGTCGTGGACATAACAATCTGACATAGGAAACAATTCTATAATTTAGAGAAAACATCAATTTCCTGGAGTAACAGATCCCAAAGAATGTTATCAAATCACTTTTCATTGTAAACATTTCTTGATAATGATTTTTGTCTCATTTTGGCAAAATATGCCATATTAGGAATTCTTTCTCAGTAGAGATCCAATGCCCATATTAGGCACCAGCCAAGAAAATTTGGACGTCAAAATATGACGAATGATAATTCCGTAATTACAATGTATTTGTCTTCTGAAAAATGTTACAAAATAACCAATATGTTCCATATACACAGGTTTTACTGGTATATACACAAGGTTTTATCATATTATGTTAATACATGGCCTGACATGAGGAAGAGCTGATAGACTGAAGTAATGCAACATTATGAATGCATCAACTGCCAGTAAACTCTGACTTCTTCAGCTAAATAATCGATCAAGAAATTAGTAAATGATTCAATGACCATACTTCAGTTTAGCACTGGACAAAAATGCAATAAATGGTTTTCACATTTTTACATGATTTATTAGGGAGGAAAAGTATGGATTCAGAGAGGAAAACAAAGGAAATGGGCATGATGTCAAAAAATTGTGTTGAAATTGTATTGAGATCAGTTATTTACGGTTAATTTGGTGAAAATGGGCAACAAGTAAGCTTTAAGGAATCAATAAATTATCTTATCAACAATACTCAGTCTATATTTCTGATTCAATGATAATAAGTCTTATTGTGAATGGAAAAAATGTGATTTCACAGTCATTTCACATAGCGATTTAGTTATGAATGTATGAGGATTGAAGGAATGGAGGGGTGGGTGAAAATGAATAAGGGGGGGGCTAAATAGAGTGGGGCTAAGGCAATGTTACCTCTAAAAAGTTGGGTGTACATCAATCAAGCCTAGGTTATTTTCGGTAGGAAGAAAAGATAGCAATGAGGAAGGGGACCTGGTTATATTTCAATAACATGTCAGTATTACAGAGTGGTTAAGTGTATCGTAAATCCACACACTAAAATCTAAAGAAAAAATCATTGGAATATATGGAAAGCTCTTATTAACATTAGGAGGTTTTCAATGAACGTGTATGATGCAACAGTCAACAACCAAGAAAAGTACTGAAGTTTTCATAGTTTGGGATGTTCACCTGAGCTTGGTAGGCCATACGTGCTTGCAAACATAGGTTATACTGTACATGAAACTTGAGAAGATAAACCATAGGGAGAATGTATGTAAAAGCAATCTAACCTTGATTGTGTGAGGCTAGACTAAGAAATTATCTCATGTTTCTCACTTACTATTGATATCATAAGGGGGGGAGGGGGGGGGGGGGTAAATGCCATTTTTGAATTCATGTAAAACATGTGAAAAAGATAATCAATGATTCTAAAAATGAATGAATATCTAAAAAGTTTGTTTCATTAGGGTTGGTGTCATTTCTAGTTAATTAATCTATTTAATCAGATTGATTATGTGTAGAATTTAACACAAATGTTTTGAGCTGACCCCCAACTAAGGATGTAAATGATCTTGTAGAAATAGCTAAAATTAGTATCACACACTGAGTGATATTCTTATAGTTAACATGAAATTGAAATTGATGAGCTCATTTATTTGTGTATCTGTCTTCTAGAAAACCCATGAGAATTATCAGTATATCAACTCAGTATTTTTGCAAATGAAATTTTTTTCTAGTTTAACATTTTAGGAGTTATAGATTTTAGAATCATTTAGCCAGACATTTAGGAACTCTGTTCATTTTAAATGTATTAAATAATGCAGGGGTTTGATTAGCAGTAGGCAATTTTCACCAGTTGTTTAAATCGCCTGTTGTTTTTAGGGGCTTTTCAACTTTTCCTTCGATTCTACTCTGTTTAAATTCCAGCTTTTTCAATCTCACAAATCCTCAAAGTATCAAACATTTTCACAGATGTAATAATCTAATAATCTAAACAGAATAAATAACAGATAACTAGGTAATTAGCACTCAATTAATTAATAAATAATGAGTCAAGGTTTTATTATATAATCACCATCTGCTATTTTCCTTGAGTATACATATGTATTTCCCAGAAACTACCCTGAGTTCATCTTCTAGTCTAGTACATCAGACTCTGACTTCAACCAATCATTTTACAGTTTGATGTTCAACAAATCATAAAACTCTGCAGAAAAACACTGATGTATCTACATAATCAAGAACTAAATTTGAGCTACAAAAGGGTCTGATTGGCATGTAGCAAAGTCACGAGTTTTCACTGTTATACGAAGAGGAGAGGAAATAACTCTTGCAAAGGGTACCATGTAATGTAATTCAACCAATATGATGTGAAAACCTTGGGTACCTTGATTCTAATCACTTCACTATACTTTTCTTCTGACTACTAAAATTGATTTCACAGGTACGATCTTAATAAAGAAGTATATTATAGGACACAACCTGTCCAAGGGAGACAATACAAGTATTTGTTACAGAGCATGACACATTAAGTAGTTTTACCATGATACTTACCAGACTTGTTTCTTTCTGGAACTCTGTGAGGGAGTTATGGTAGCCATTCTGTTTCATATAATCTGCTATAGCTTTATTTCTGAAAGTACAGAAACATTGATGTCAGTGATATACCAATGGAAAGTATATTCCCAAGACTGGTCCATTTTCCTATAATACCCTTAAAATACCCCTAAATATATATATCTTTTTATTGACTCAATAACCATGTCATGTAAATGACATATCAGTCACTACAGTGTACAAAAAACTACAAACTACAACTACATACTACAAAACTACTTTACATCAGTTTCACATGTCAGGGTATGATATCAGTGTGGTGTATCCATAATACATGTGTTTTAAAAAAATGTTTACATAATATTAATCATTTTCCAAATTTTTAAAAGAGTGATATACAAATTTGGCTAAATGTAAGTTAACATGAGAGCTTTTACTAGACATAATAGTTTCAAACAGTTTATCTGGATCTTTGCACTGTTTCAGATCAGATTCTAAAGTTTCAAACAAAAGCTCTCTGTGTTTTAAGTTCTTTGTACAGCTTGTGATAAAGTGAAGCTCATCCTCAATTACCCCACATTCACTACACAACCTTTCACTTGTGGGTTTTGGCTTTGGTTTTGAGTACCGCCCAACTTCTATCTGTAATTTATGTGAACTCATCCTGAGCCTAGTTAATGCATGTCTATACTTTTTATTTTGAATGTTTAAATATAATTCTTTGGTGAAAGTATTTTTGAATTTTATATAAGTTCTAAGAACAGGAAAAGTAAGAATATCCTGTTTCCATTGAAGTGCATAATTACTTTTTAATTTCTTTGTGATATATTAATATCAAAAATTTTGAAATCAATATCAAGAAAAAATAAAATATTTTACAATTACAGATTATAGAACATATGGATATACCAACAGAAAGCATGATATTCTGGCACTAAGTAATTAATAATAGAAATTCACTGCAGAAAATATCAATAAAACAATCTATTGCTGTGAATACATGGCATGCCATCAGCTGTATTTTATATTAATAAATTATATTTACTATTCATAGCATTTATTGGGTTTAATGTCCAATAGTTAATTCTACACACTGTAATGAGAATGAGATTAAGTTCTTGCTTTTTTCTGGTATGAAATGTCTAGTAGCCAAAATATCTATATTTTAAAAAACTTTTCAAATCTTCAGTTGGTGCAAGTTGATTTTGATCTGGGTGCAAGTTGATTTTTAACTGGGTACAAGTTGATTTTGAACTAGGTGCAAGTTGATTTTTAACTGGGTGAAGCTTCCATTTCCTTAATGCTGGGAAAATAATTATACTTAAGGTCAATGTGAACTACAAGACAAAATTACTTTATTATTAATCCCATCAGTAAAATTCTAGCAGATCGTATTATAGTATTCAAGAAATACACAGATAATTACAATCATACATTTAATTACAACAATTTGAGGGTTCATAAAAAGTTTTCTTTCTAAAGTCTAATGTTAGGAAATTTGGAATGATTTAAACCAACAAAATAGTTTTTATTTTTAGGATGGGAAAACCTACTGTATATATTCTAGAACCACATAATATAATACAATTCCATAGGGAACCAATTCATAAAGCTCTCTGCTTTGTGTTTGAGAAAATATCAAATGTGATAGTTCTGATGTTATCTTGGGACTGGCACTCTACAAGACTAAAATGGTTTGCTGCAATCATCTTAATAAATATCTCAGGTATAATATTCAATGTCCATGTTAGGAATACAAGTGTTAGACTGAAATTGGAGGGGGGGGGGGGTGATTTACCATCAGTCAGCAGAGTATGTACATAACCAGACCCAGAAATTTTTTCATCGATGAAAAGTTCAAAACTCAAATATGTTATTCTAAACCAATTATTTCACTATTTAAAGAACAACCAGTGAATTTGTATTTCTACCCAAGTTAATAAACATGTACACATTGCAAGCAAGAGGCAAAGGGTATGTATAATGCATGAACAAGCATTTTAGAGGTAAATGGTACGATACAATGTTACAAGCGTGAGGGACAAAACATAACAAATCAATGGGAGACATAATAAAAACTGGATATTTTATCCCACATAAATAATCATCGGCTATGACATCAGACTTGTATGGAACTTGGAGGTCTTAATAAATGGAAAATCAATAGCACCGTCTGGTGCACCATTCACTATTCCCAGTTTTCAGCAAGTTGAAATGAGGAATTCTACAAATGAAATTAATGAATTCTCCAAGTAAAAAGGGTAATTACGCATAAATTCTGCTGGATTTTTCTGTAGTTTTAGTTGAAAAAAAAACAGACAAATATTAGAAAATGTGGGTAACTGGGGAGAGTGACAATTCTGATCTCTGCTTTTTATAGAATGGGAATATATGCTGAAAACTACAAATGCAAGTGCCATTTAAAGACCAAACGAGTTGAAAAGACAATTAGAAATGAAATTTTTTTAGAGTACATGTAAAAAAAAAGCTAACCATGTGAGCTAACCAGTTATAAAAAAAAATCAAGAATAAAACAATGTCTAACATCCTCTCTTCCCATCAATCAGGAATCATTATTACAACCACAAACCACAAAGAAATGTTTACCATCCAGCTTAATACACATGATGGGAGAGAACAAAATACTTTGGAATGAAACAAAATGTAATACAAGCCTTCAGGTACCATCCCCCAAAATCAGGCTTCACTGCTATAGCCATCATGATAAACCATGACATCTCATTTCACAGAAAGATGATATGAGTATCAGAATGGCTATAGCAGTTATATAGGAAGCAAAGAAATACCCAGGTAACTGTTCAGGTAACTATCCTGTCCATAATTTATCAATTCTATTGTAAAATCATAACTTTTATTTAAGAGTCAGAATTTGGCAGTTGCACAACTTCCAAAGTAAAAATATCGAGGAGTGTCTCTTTAAAGCACGCAATTATTGCATACATGTTTTTGTATGTAACATTGCACCACATGCACATCATCTGATATAAAACTGGAAAAATATCAAGGTCAAATACTTGAGTCTGGATGTTTGGAGATATTACCATGGAATTCAAAAGTACATGTACAATTTCTGGTCCTGTGTTAATGTCATCATAACAGTATTATTTAAAATCAAGACCTTTTAAAGCCAAGACAGTTATGTTAAAAGCCAATACAGTAATGGTGTCCAAAAGTTAGCTTTGTTAGGGAGAGGGGGTAATAATGATTTCAATAGTGTAAAAATCATCCAGACAATAAATCTGGGGATTTTAAAGATGGCGACTCTCATGAAGAGGCATAATTTGACATTGTCTGTAATATTCAAGCTAAAAAGATTCATAAGCCAAGTGTATTCGTAAGCCAAGTGTATTCATAAGCCAAGTGTATTCATAAGCTAAGTGTATTCATAAGCCAAGCTATGCACATGATTCATATGAAAATAAAATAAAAACATATTAAACCAAAACAAAATTAACTTTGTTTTTCAATGACTAACTGTTGTTGATAACAAAAAATAAGTAGATAATTGGACATCATTCCTAAAGCTAAGACAAAACTGTTTCAAAATACAAATAAGATTAAAAAATGTTTGTCAGGACTATAAAACACATAACTGATGCTAGTCATAAATCTGTTGACATTTAACAAGAAAGTCAGGTATTTTTTACTATAGAGAATACAGTACATTTAAACTTGTATATCTGAACACCTGACTAATCCGAACACCTTCCAATCTGAACACTTTTTTTCAGTCCCATTTTTACTCCCATTTTGAATGCAAAAACCTTTAAAATGTGAACCCCTCCTAAATTGAACGCTTTCAGCCAGTCCCAATGGAGTTCAAATTAGACAGGTTTTACTGTATATGGATCAAGATTGTTCATTTCAGTGTTCAGACACAGTTTGTATTTAGTAAGGCCATGTTCATGAGCTATCTTAGTATTAATTCCATTTAAATAATATCCTTAACAAGTCAACGAACAATACAAACCTTACATGACCTTATAGTAGCCTAGATATATTGAAGTGATTTGGATGAAGTCCAGCAAGTACATTAAATGTAGTCAATAATTTTCTTATTCTCTACATGATATTACAGAACACCTCTTCAAGTGTATATCATAGTTTGATGAAATCAATCTGATGTGTTTTATTTGGCAAACCATTCCCTTCATCTTTTTTCTCAATGATGTTTACCAATAAAAAAATGTCCAAAACTGATCCTTATCACAATCTCTCATGATTTTACAGTCTCAAATGGATATGAATATAATTATTCCAAAAAGCTATCCCAAAAATGCAAACCGTTCAAAATGACTTGTAAATTTCTTAACTATTTGTCAATTTATTTTCAGTCAAATGAGACACTTTGCTCACTGCTTCACAAAAATATGTTCAAAGTTTTTTTTCTGCAATGGGGATTGTATGTTATGGGGATTAGTTTTTGCAATGGGGATTGTATGTTATGGGGATTAGTTTCTGCGATGGGGATTGTATGTTATGGGGATTAGCTTCTGCAATGGGGATTGTATGCTATGGGGATTAGTTTCTACAATGGGGATTGTATGTTATGGGGATCAGTTTCATAAACTTGAGAAAATCATCTGCTGCTAATGAAACAGGTGAGAAAAACACAGACCTATTACAAATATTAGTTTTGATACTGATGGTATCTGAATAAGTTCAAATGCAGCTTTGGTAGAATTTTGTATCTGTAAAATGATCTGTTGTATTTCAATAAACTTTCTGTGATCTCCCCACCATTAAGCAATACCTGAGATTTTAAAAATAGACTTGCAGTTGCACCCACCTGAAAATCCATTTGCACCCAATTGAAGGTGAGAAAAATCATGAAAAATGGGCATATTTTGACCAATATCAGTCTGAATTGTGGAAATGAGAATTTTTCACCCACTTGAGAAAAATCCTGTGGAGAACACTAACTTTATTCATTGGAATTCTGCAATTCTTTCCATTATTAGGGTTAAAAACTTGCATTCAAGAATTAAGTTCAAGGGCAAATTTCTTTAAATGTTTTTTTTTCCATTTATTTAAATTTCCTAGATATTGATATAAATACAAATGTATGCCTTTGTTAACTTAATAACATTGGCGGCATAGTAAATATTAAAAATATAACACAGGAATTTACGCAATACACAATTCTTTAAATGTCAGAATACTACTTACAATTCCTCTCGTTGCCTCTGTGACAGCACCATGATGTGAATATGATATCCTATCCCTTGAATAGTATATCAGTTTTATCCTATTTTGTTTATTCTTGAGATCTGAGTTATGTTTTCTAGCAGTTCATCCTCAGCTATAATCCATAGTCCTGAAAAAATGGGCCAAATTGCAATTAACATGATGTTTTGATGCATGTTGTCTTGTTGAAGCCCCCATGACTCCCAACTACACACTTCCCAGCCGCTATTCCTTGAGAAGGAAGAAGACTTGAAGCAAGACAATGATGCAAGTATGAAAATAATCTCAAATATCTGATCGGATATAATATATAATATAATATATATACAAAGTCATCCGTATTTCGTAAAAATCAGGGACAATGGACATGTCCGCATCGCGGCGCATCCAAATTATTTAAGTTGCACTTTTTTTATTTGCATTGGCAATCTATATCAGGATCCCTTTTTGATGGGTGCGATTTTTGTGCATGTGCAAACTAAATGGACTTCATATCCATTATTCCTGGTGGTTTCAAAAATAGATTAGGTTCGGTTCTGTAAGAGTATATGTGGGCATTCTCGGACACAAGCATTGTTGGACGATCTACAATAATTATTTGTTTTATATGATAAATGACACATCGTTTTATAAATATAATGATATATTTTGTAAAGAGTTTAACAATGCCCATGATTTTCAACTAATGCCAAGGGATTGTCCAGGGATGCCCCATGGACGAGAATGCCTCTATGTACTCTATACCATTCTAGCGAAGATTTGTTTTTTATTCTCAACTGATATGACTCGGTACCTGGATTCCTGATGGGGTACATACAGGGCAAAGGGCTGTAACGTCTACACCATTTTGGGGTAACTTCGACATGTGGGGTAATTTGACACCTTGTTGTTTATTTGCTCTAATTTCCGATCTAGGAAGGAGCCATTTTTTCTCGCATGGATTCAGATCTTGCGAGATTTTAATTTTTCCAGAAATCAAACATGGTGGAAAACGGAAATTCTACTTGATTTCTAAGAATAAGTGTCAAAGTTACCCTGTCTTTTATGTCGACATTACTTACTCGGGTCTCTAGACAATTCTTGGCTAGAAGTAATTTCATCTGGAACACTGTGAACCATTTGAAAAAAGCTGGCCATTGTGTAACAAAATGCATCATATCTGCAGATTGCCCCAGCCAGCCAGCGATTCTATTTTGACAGCAAAACTGACCTCAAAACTCATCATAATTTTGAACAGCTGGTTATGCATTGATCAGAGTACATCATATGAAATAATATCTCCTAGACATCAGGGATTTATAAAATGGAAAAAGCATCTAGAACTGAATCAAAACGATGAATAGGAGGAGTATTTTATCAATGTTTTTGATTGAAAAAATTTAAATTCAATCCAACATGGCGGACATTTTAGGCGTAAATTATGCAGCCATTCAATGGCTTGGAAGTTACTTAATATGGGAATCCAATGAAATATAAGGAATAATTTATAAAGAACATACCTCAGACTTGAATTTCGTCGGATATCAGGTCGAAAAGATTAGTATTAGTGCCCAAATTCAATCAAAAATTGACTTCTTTCTACACGTTGAAAAATTACCCAGAATCCAAGATGACTCACGAACTCTCGCGGAAAAAACGAGAAATAACGAGATTCAAGATGTCTGCGCCCATCACTCAAGTCGTTTTTGTCGATAAATCGTAATACACTGTTAGTTTGTAAGTATAATAGATCAATTTCGTTCTATAAATATTTTTAACTGTATCTGGGATATGTTTGAACAATTTAATTGGTTTGAATTCGGTTACGTAGAGGCTTTTCTGGTATACAGTAGATCTACTAAAAAGACAATGAATAAGGGTCGCGCTCCGATTAGCAATGGACAACGAATAGATGGCGCGTTTTCGCGGGAAATTTTATTCACTAAAAAATTGACCCCGCTTTTATATGCAATTTTGGTCGCTCATTTTAACTATGTTAAAAGTCGAATTGCTGTTATTTCTTTATAAAATCTGTTTAATAATTGAATGAAGTCTTCGCGCATTCTGAAGAATAGAAGAAAATCGTTTTTGGCGAGTACGAACTTCACGAGGTAAAGTTTAAATCATTTAATTATACCCTCAATAATTTTTGGTCGCTTTGATTAAGCAGTTATTTGTAAAGTTTAAAGTCTTGAGATCGTAAAAAATTAAAACTTACACTGATATATATATGCGCAAATGTAGAAATTCAACTTTTAAAGTGGCTGGTGTAATCTTCCGATTCTCAGGCAAGATGGCGGCCATATTTATCTTCCGGGGTCGCGTGTCTTGCGCAAAAATAAAATCGTTAATTTTGGTTAATCTGTGTTCAATTATGGTTGTTACTTCAAATAAATGTATATTTATGAAATCAAATATGCTATTGAAAACTTCTTCATACGATGTCCGTTGAATTTGGACTTATTAGACACAGATTAAAAGATTGTTATTGTCACGTGATTAGTTTGTTGTTGTTCTCGCGATCAAGCACGTGGATCGATGTGGATAGGTTGGTATGATTATTTGACAATTACATGAATTACCAATGCATAATTCAGTAATTACAGGTGCCCCAATCTATTATCATCGGATAATCACTTTGACTACTTGCAGTCTCACCTCCCTTGATGCCCCATACTGTAAAAGTTTATCATTGATGACCCATACTAATGATCACTTGATGTCCCATACTATTGATCATTTGATACATGTATACCATACTATTGACCACTTGATGTCCCACACTATTGATCACTTGATGTCCCACACTGTTGATTCCTTTGATATACTATTGATCACTTGACGTCCCATATTGTTGATCACTTGATGTCCCATACTATTTAACACTTACTACCCCATACCATTGATCACTTGATTTCCCACACTGTTAATTATTTTATTCCCTAATACTTATTAATTACTATTGATTATTGATTGTCCAAGACTGTTGATTACTTGATATCCAGTACTGTTGATCACTTGATGTTCCATACTGTTGATCACTTGATGTCCCATACCATTGATCACTTGATGCCCCATACTATTGGTTAGTTGATGTCCCATACCACTAATCACTTGATGTCTCATACCATTGATTTCTAAATGCAGCATGCTTGTTTTAACGACTTGGAAAGTTTTATTTTGGTCTCTCTCAAGACTTTTGAAAACTATAATACATGTACATATGGACATATGTATATTATATATTATGGTAAACAATTTAGTGATATACATGTAGTGTCAGCTTATAGATACACTATTTGTATACATGGAAAGAATATTACTCGAGTAATAAAAAAATATTTGTACTAATGTTCTCCATTGATCCAAATGAAAGAGACATAGGAAATTGTACATTGCAAATGTTTATTTTAAAAAAAATACAAAAAACGCCCATGGGTGATACTCTGTGACTCTAATTTACGAAAATATGAACTTATATTAGACCTTCATTTTTTTGTTTGGTTAAATAAAAGTTAGAGTTACAAGAAAATATAAGGTATGATAAGATAAACCTTATTGTTAATTTTTAATTAAATTTCAAAGTTGGGGTCAGTTTTTAGCAAAAACGATTTTTGGACCCCCTGAGGGTGACCTACTTTAAATGGGTGCCACGGCCAGTATGCATTTTCTAAAAATTTAGGTTATAGATTTTCTTTTTATTGAAACTCCAAGCTTTCAGAAAATATATAGTTTAATGGGGTTGGGTTAATTTAAAAAAATGGTTGTCCAATCGGAGTCCGATTGTCAACAGTACAGTAAACATATTTGGAACTAGAGTCAGTACGTCTATTTCCAAACACCCCCATCAAAAAATGTAGTTAGCTTGGCTGTACTGCACATCTATGCTATGATTCTATTTATATTATGTGTATTATCCACTGTAGAATGCATTTGCAGAAAGAATTACGAAAAATTGTAAAAAATATCTGGGTTATTCCATTTTTACTACAAGGTATTTTAGGGGGGTAATTCCGAACAGGAGTTTTTTGGGGGGGGGGGTAAATCCGAACACTTGCATGGGGGTAATTCCAAACACTTAACTTAAACTTAATTGTTTTAATTATTAGATTGATGGTATATCATTATATGATACTCTTAACTTATGATACTGGATCCTGTCACCCCTGCATATCAAGAAACCCAAATTTAAATCATTTATTACTGACATCCATTTATTTAAACGCACAGAGTTCGTGGGGGTAATTCCAAACACTAGCATGGGGGTAATTCCAAACACCTAAATCATCATATTTGATTATTTTATTGTAAGATTGTTGGTATACATCATCATATTGTATCTTTCAGGCTATAAATATTATGTAAAGGTAGTAGAGGTACTATTATTCAATTCAATGATCTGCTTGCCATTATTTGGAACCCGTTCGTGTTTACCCCCCTGTTTGGATTTGGACATATTGACTCTACTTTGAATTTAAAAAATAAGCAATCCAAGGACCATATTGAAACAATATATGTAAATATAGAAACATTTATACATGTCCTAACTTTTGCATATTTTAGTTTGTTAGCCATGCATGCACGGACATCTAATACGTTCTTCGAACTACCCTGGAACTATATCAATAACAGGACTGGCATCAGATCCAAGTATTTTTCAAGACCGCCGACTCTCGTTGGGCTATTTATCCCTATTGACTCAGTTGTTCATATAAATTTACGTACCTTAGATGCTTTGTAATCGACATAGATATAAAATATTGTTTCCTAAATTGTTCTGAAAAGCGATAATTATTACTAAATGTACTTTGAACAGGTCGACTGACAAACAAGCCGGGCTTCTGGCACGTCTCGTTCTCGCTCTCAAACAAAACGTGAAGAACGTGACGTCACTTCCGAATCATAGCATTCAAAATAAGTAGCGTTTAATTCCCAACACCATATGTAAAATAACGGTGGGCTAGGGGGAGAATCCTTGCTTAGCACGCTAGAGGCCCGGGTTCGAATCCCGTACTCGCTTTTTTGTTTTTTTTCAAAGTCGTTATCTTCATTGTCTAGTTTACGAATACCAAATGTCGATGTGATGTTTTAATTGATAAATACGAATTCCTTACACATTTCTTATCTTATTGTGAAATAGCAAACTAAGAGATATCTTTACTCGCTAGGAATTAACATAATATTATTTGAAGCGATTTTAGAAAATGTTGAAACCGCCATCTTGGTAATATTGATGACGTGATCACCATCGGTCAAGGTCAGGTCAAAAGTCATCCATCTTGCCATTTGCCCGGCGTTTTCTTACCAGTCGACAAAAAACGATGAAATCACGTTGAAAATAAAATATACACTTTAAAATTGAGGCTGATCGAATATGACAAGACTCCATTGAATACAGCTGTGCAATTTACAGTCACCAAGATGAGCTAATTTCGGAGAGATTCGGTGAGATTCGGGAATTGAAAAAGGTAAGCCCTTCCGGTTTCCCAACTTCAAAGTGTTTGAAATCCCAGAATTTTCGCCAGAAACATTCTCTCTGACTGTGCATGCATGGGCTTTATTGAAAGCCCATGGTTTAGCTATCAAATCTATCGCCTCTTATATTTTGATGCTTCTCTGCCATGTTGTTTTCGGAAAGATTAACATGGCTGAAACTAGAGGTGTCATGTATTAACCGGTTAACCAGTTAACCGCCGATAATGCCTTGACCGGTCTATGTTTTTATGGGCGGTTAGTTGACCGTGTATAATTCTGTTATTTCCCGCGCTTATTTTGCATGCTAATCCGTTTGGTTTTATGGTGTCAGTTTCACGTAAGCTACTCATACATGTCATAAGTCCTTTAACTCCTTACAAACATCCAATCAGCAACTTTAATCCCTGCCACATTGCTTTCCCGCGCTTACTTTGCATTTTAATCTGTTTGTTTTTCAAGCGTCAGTTTCATGTGAGCTACTCATACATGTGATAGGTCCGATAATTCCTTACAAACATCCAATCAGCAACTTTAATCCCTACCACATTGCTTTCCCGCGCTTACTTACATAGAATAGAGTAACGCTTGACGAACGTAAATAATAAACGCCGATATATCATTTTCCCAATTTTTTCAACTTTCAAGATCGAAGATGAAGATTTCATTTGAAATTATCAGTTCAAATTTCCCGCCGGTTAACCGACTTTAACCGGTAAAAACCCCCGGTTAACCGGTTAATGCTCAAGCGGTTAATTGACACCACTAGCTGAAACTCCTTAAATTACAAAAGGCCATAGCTTTGCTGGACATTATGCATAACTATCTGGCAATTCCAGATTCGGAACCACCTTGGGGATGTCCCCTTACTACTCCCGCCCCTCCCCCCTCTAGATTCGCCAGGGACATCATAGCTTGTTGCCAATTCATTTATATTATTTCGAAGGAGATAGCATATGTACCTGGACCTATGTATCACTAACTGACCACATAATTATCCAAATTTGTAATAACTTTTCTTTAAAAGTTGCGTTGGGAAGATAGCGCTGGAAAAGTATCCAGCATCAAACCCACATGTTGCCCCTCCGGGTCTGAGAGACTTCATCCAAATGTTGTCCAAATACTGATAGATAAATTCCCCACAATTCCATAGGGTCTCCTGTACTCCACTGCTGCATTGGACTCTTCATCTTCTTTGGGGGATTTTTCCTTGCCCGCACACTTCACAGGCTCTAGCTCTCTCATCTGCTGCCAAATTAAGCAAGTAAAATCATCTTGTACATCGTTCTGCAGTTCGCTTCCCTCAAAAATGCTCAGCCACTGGGAAAGCATGGCTAAACTCAAGTAAAGATGGCGTGGGGGAGTGAGGCAAACGAAGCCTGATTGGCTGAAATGTTTTTTGTGGGGTTTCTATCAATCATAGATCATATGATATGAAGAGCAGGTTGATCAGAAAAAATGTTCCAAATATAAAACGCACTTTTAATGCAAAACTGAAAGATGTATACCATGCATGGAATGAGTTATGTATACCTAAAAACAAGATAGGGCTTCACTTAGGAATCCATTAAAATTTCTGAAAATTCAGAACTGCCTTAAGATACTTTGGGTAGTAGTTCCATTTGTTTAGGAAATTTTAATTTAATGGCTTCTGTAAAAAAGTTCAGATCTGACAAATTGTATACCTGTACTTAATGGCATAAATACTTTCAGGGTATAAGCAATTCTGATTCATGCTTTAATATTTACTTAACCTCTTGAATCCCAGGCTCTAAAATTGGTTGAAACCAGAGAATTTTTCATTTTTGCCACCTTTTGACATTTTACTACATACCTTTACAACTTTAGATGCTCAACTTAGTAAAATTTGATGGCAGAGATCATTTCTACACGTTTTAAAATTTATTTTTTGTAAATTGGATGAAAATTGTTCAAATAAGAGCAACCTCTGGGTTTCAAGGTCATTTCTGAGGTGACGAGAAATCTCGTCATTCTGGGTAGTCAAGAGGTTAAAGGGTTGATAAACTCTGATCTATTATAGCATATTTACTTTCAGGACAGAAGAAAATCTGATCCGATATGGCACTAAACAAGTTTATGCATCCTCGGAACCCTTATAAACATCGCAAACCAGACTTTAAGGCACTTGCCATCAAATATTCTGATTTCCGAAGACATGTGACACAAGACTTGTCAGGTTTGTAATTTTACAATTTTGATGCATATGTCTATTAAACATTCAACTCATAACCAAAATCATTTTAGAGGTACCATTGTTCCACTTTTACTGTTAATATGTCATTAAAATATATGTTTTTACTAGAGGTATGACACTGACCCAAAGTCGACCCGAATCTCGGGTCGGAAGGCTCGGGTCGGGTCACAAACAACTACTTACCAATTTTGGGTTGGGTCATAATACTTGGGAATATCATAAGTTATCATTAAATTTTTTATATTTCCCGCTAAATTTCAAACTTTTGGATTGCCTATTTCTTGAATAAGTATAAATTACGAATGGGGAATAGTTTACGGTCCGACCCGTGACACCCCTAGTTTTTACCACAACTTCAATAGCTCTCAAAAGCAGCTGGCAATTGTGTTTCCTTCTGTTTGAGGGAAATTGACAACTGTTGTCATGTTTAAATTATGAGTTTTCATTTGTTTTGCCTTTTCACACTTCCAAGGGAACCCCGTTCCTCTATGATAAGTCCATAAATAGGCAATTTTGAATGAAAATATATTAAATCTCCAACTTGGACTATTAATTTCAGGTAAAGTCCACATGGACTTTAAGAGTCCAGAATCACAGAGGGCATTGACCTTGACCTTGCTAAAAGAGGATTTTGACCTTGACCTTGAACTTCCACTCGACAGACTCATCCCAACAGTACCACAAAGACTGAACTATATTCTGTGGCTTGAGGATATAATGAGTAAAAAGGAAGGATTATTTGGTGTGGATATAGGTTTGTCAGTCTGTTTTGTTCATATTTTAATGCCACAGATTAAAGGGGGCTCTGAATTTGTTTCAAAAAACCTAAAACAATGGTTGAATGCTCTAGCACTAAGCTTTAGATTAGCAAACTTGCAGTTATTTAGAATAAAATTTGTCACTTCCGGAATATTATTTGGTGAGAATTGCCTTGTATATTATCTGGTGTCACTTTATTTTTACAGTACTGTCAACCCCCAAAGATTTTCTCGCGGGACAGATTTTTTAGACCCAGTGCCCAAAATTCGCGGGATTTTGCGGGACATCTACTAAATTCGCGGGATTTCGCGGGACATTTAAGGGATTTGCATGATTGCGCTTATAGGCCAATTTTTTTTATCAAATTCGCGGGATTTCGCGGGACCATTCGAGGGACAAACACCCTAATTGCCGGACAGTTACTAGGTTTACCAGCAAAAACTTCATAGAGGGACAGATTTTCTAGAAAAAGTGCCCTAAATTGCGGGATTTCGCGGGACATCCACCTAAATTTGCAGGATGTCCCGGGACATTCAAGGGATTTGCGTGATTTGGACTAATGTAAAAGCGTGTAAAAGTACTTGAATCAAACTTTCAGATACTGATTAATCAAATATAATGCACCGTTACATTGTAACTTAAATAAAAGTCAACATAATTTCACAAAATACGCATAGAAATATTATTAAACATATTGTAATTTATCAAAAACAAAAACCATGCTTGAGGTGTGAGTATCGTAATCTAACACGAAATCAAAAATTTGGAACAATACTTTGCACTTCTCTGCTTCTGGCGTCGTGACCAACTACTACCATACTGTAGGCATGGGCTTTCAATTGAAAGCCCATGAAAAAGGGTTCGATTAATCTACATCAAATTATAGGGAATGAGGTTACTTTTCTAGATAGGGTTTGTAGAAAAAACCGTGTACCGGGTAGTAAATCCTCCATGCTGGGTTCAAACTTTTTTTTATTTTTTTTATTCCTTCATTCTTATTTATGTACATGTAAATGTAAATATAAATATGTACATGTAAATGTAATGCAATTAATAATATAAATAAAATTTACGTAGACAAACTTGGTACCCGGTCGAAAAACCGGGTACCCAAAAAACGAAAAACGAAATATACGAATATACAACATAATTAGATCATTAGAAAACGTGTAAGATTTGTTTTGAATTTACAAAAATGTAACTTCCTTCAAATTTGAGCTAGAAGCTTCAAATAAAAAGCATTTTAAGCCTCTTTTCTTCCTCTATCATCATGGTCATATTTCCATTGGTAATGAAGGGGGAGGGGGTGCGATCGCACCATCACACCCTCTCCTGGCTACGCCAATGACATTGTAAGACGATTTGAATAACAAGACAAATCAATTTTACTCTATTTTCAATGAGTTCGTATGTTGGTACGTGAACATAACCAATGAAAATATGGTCATGACGATAGAGGAAGAAAAGAGCCTTAAAATATGCTTTTTATTTGAAGCTTCTAGCTCAATTTTGGAGGATGTTACATACATTTTTGTAAATTCAAAACAAATCTTACACGTTTTCTGATAATCTAATTATGTTATACTCGTATATTCGTATTTTTCATTTTTTGGGTACCCGTTTTTTGACCGGGTACCGGGAACCAAGTTTGAACCCAGCATGGAGGATTTACTACCCGGTACCCAGTTTTTTCTACAAACCCTTTCTAGATATCAGCGTCCATTTATTGTAACTTGCGTTTGCTAACATTTGCTCAGTTCTGAGATGAAGGCCACACAGATAGTAAAAAGGCCAACGTTGGAACTATTTGTGACCTACATCCCTATTGTCGTAATTAAAATGAAAGTTGAACCCTTCCGCTTTATTTTGATACCAAACAACAGCATGCTAGGTACTTGAAATTAGGTAAACTTTACTCCTCAAAAGTGCAAAAACTTAGCTTCTTATATAAGATAAGATAATCACCATATAGGGGATTGCAACAATTTCGGAAATTCGCGGAGGTCGAAAGCCACATTTGCGGGACTTCGCGGGACATTGCGGGACACGCGAATTAGCCTAATTTTGATCGAATTCGCGGGATAATCCCGCCATTCGCGGGACACTTGACAGCTCTGTTTTTAGAGGAACATTTTTAGAATCATTTTAGCATAGGAGAGAAAAAGATGAAATTGAAAGCTCAATGAATGGTGCTACCTGTTTGGTGTTCGGTGATTGTCATCTGCAACAAATGTCAGGTGGTGACATTTTACATGTTAATGCTTTTTTAATGTTACCCTTTGTCCATTTAAGAATATGATGATACCATATTTGTAGGTACAGGAGCATCATGTATCTACCCTCTGCTAGGTTGTAAGACCAACAAATGGAAGTTCATTGCGTCTGATATTGATGATATAAACATCTATTTTGCTGAAAAGAATGTAAAAGCAAACCAAATGGAAGATTCTATAAAAGGTATTACAGAATACAGATGTTTTGAGGATTTATACAAATGGAATTCTGCCAACTTGATTGCATTCTCTGACCTAATTTGTTCGTTTATTGTCATGACAAATACATATTATCATTTTGATATTACCAAAGACTTTGATTATCCCATCGAACAAAGTTCGGAGGGATATAGGGAACGCCTCTGTCCGTCCGTCCGTCTGTCCGTCCGTCTGGGCAATAACTCAAATACCGTTGGCCCGATTTTGTTCATATTTTGTACACACATACCCAATGGGGGTAGAAGTTCTGCTCGAAAACCGATTTTCAAAATGTTCATTTAAAAATGGCGGCCATTTAAGTGCCGATTTTACAATAATTTAGGTACTGCATATAAAACTGTAATAGCAATATGTTTTAAATGTAAAAAAAGTTATATAGGGCATTGATTAAGCTAGAAATGTAAATACAGAAGAAATACATGGCAGCCATCTTGAAAAATGGCTGCCTTTGCACGTCATTTTACGATTTTTTCTGTAACTTGAAAAGTAGTGGAGCGACTTTGTTCATATTTGATATGTGAATACTTTAAGCATGGCACAATGTTTATGACATTTTTGGTAGTAGGCGGCCATTTTTCAAAATGGCCGCCATTTTTACGTGTATTAGTTTACATTTTTTATGTGTGTTATTTAACATTTTTTACTGTAAGTCAAAAAGTAGTGGAGCGATTTTGTTCATATTTGGTATGTGAATACTTTAAGCATGGCCCAATGTCTAATGACATTTTGGGCAGTAGGCGGCCATTTTGAAAAATGGCCGCCATTTTTACGTGTATTAGTTTACATTTTTTACTATATCTCAAAAAGTAGTGAAGGGATTTTGTTCATATTTTATATGTGAATACTATAAGCATGGCACACTGTCTAATGACACTTTGGGTAGTAGGCGGCTATTTTGAAAAATGGCCATCATTTTTTACGTTTTTTACTATAACTTGAAAAGTAGTGGAGTGATTTTGTTCATATTTGATATGTGAATTATGAGCCTTGCACTCTGTTGCACTTGCACTCTCTCTGGGAGTAGTCAGCCATTTTTAATGGCCACAATTTTTATGTGTGTTATTTTACATTTTTTATAATAATTCAAAAAATTATAGAGTGATTTTGTTCATATTCAATATGTGAATACTCGTAAGGATTGCATATTCTCTTTTGACATTTTGGGTAGTATTGTATTATGATTTTCTCTATTTTAATGTATACGCAACACTGACCTCTTCTTTTTCTTTTACACTTTATCTCTTAATATTATTATAGACGTTGACGTTTCATGTTGTCTGTATTACTTTTATGTACTTCTTACTTTCATTTGTTTTAGTTGTAAAGGTGGCGCCAGAATCATCCCTCACTGATCTTATTCAGCCAATCACAAATGACGTAGACTTCATAATGTGTAATCCACCATTTTTTGCCAATAACCTTGAGGCCCAGGGAATATTAACCACTCGTAAAGATGATCGCCCAGAGCCGTCTGCTTTTTCATCAGCCCATGATTCAGAAAGTGTAACCCCTGGAGGTGAAGTTGAATTTGTGAAAAAGTTGATACTGGATAGCAGGAAGTTGAAGAGTAAAGTGAGGTAATCATAATTATGTTAGTATGATGTTATATTATGGTAATAGAGTGAATAATGTTTGAGGAATAAAGAATAAGATTCTATGATTTTTTGCACAATGTATGACCAAAAAAATTTACTCTTTTCTGACCGAAATTGCGCAGCGATTAAATTTTCTGTAAAATAATTTAATTTTATTATGCTTTACTCTCCAAGATCCTTATTCCTCCTTCCAGTAATTTTTATCCCATCGAACAAAGTTCGGAGGGATATAGGGAACGCCTCCGTCCGTCCGTCCGTCCGTCCGTACGTACGTACGTACGTCTGTACGTACGTCCGTCTGTCCGTCCGTCCGTCCGTCCAGGCAATAACTCAAATACGGTTGGCCAGATTTTGTTCATATTTTGTACACATATACCCTATGGGGTTAGAAGTTCTGCTCGAAAGCCGATTTTCAAAATGGCCGCTCATTTCAAAATGGCGGCCATTTTAGTGACGATTTTACATTAATTTAGGTGCAATATGTAAAACTGTAATAGCAATATGTTTTAAATGTAAAAAATTTATAAAGGACGTTAATAATGCTACAAATGTAGATATTAAAGAAGCACATGGCAGCCATTTGGTAGAAGGCGGCCATTTTCAAAAATGGCCGCCATTTTAATGTATTTTACTATAACTCGAAAAGTAGTGGAGCGATTTTGTTTATATTTGGTATGTGAATACTATAAGCATAGCACACTGTCCTATGACACTTTTGGTAGAAGGCGGCCATTTTGAAAAAAATTTGAAAAATGGCCGCCATTTTTACATATTTCACTATAACTTGAAAAGTAGTGGAGCGATTTTGTTCATATTTGGTATGTGAATACTATAAGCATGGCACACTGTCCTATGACACTTTTGGTAGAAGGTGGCTATTTTGAAAACAATTTTGAAAAATGGCCGCTATTTTAACGTATTTTCCTATAACTCGAAAAGTAGTGGAGCGATTTTGTTCATAATTGATATGTGAATACTTTAAGCATGGCACATTGTCTAATAAAACTTTAGGGAGTAGTCGGCCATTTTGAAAAATGGCCACCATTTTTATGTGTGTTATTTTACAAGCATGTGTGCGATTTTTCAAAAATTTTAGAGGTGGCTACTTAAAAGCATATTATTTCTTCTGATGACAACTTGGCTAGTGAGCAACCATTTTGAAAATGGTGGCCTTTCTGGTGTGTTGTTTTATGATATTTGCGCTTCGTTTGTAAAAATGCCAGCCATTTCTGTTCGATGGGATTCGCTACGCTTTGGCGTTGCCGTTGTTCTGGTTAAATTTTCCATTCTGATGGTATGTATAAACAGCTCTGAAAATGGCACTACTTTGTCAGACTTCAAGATTTAATGAATATTTTTCAGATTATATACATCGTTATTAGGGAAAAAGTCAAGTCTACCTGAACTGAAGAGCTTCCTGAAGGACAACAAGGTCAGTGTTTGTTTGTTATTTATTCATGATTCTTAAAATTCATTTGTTTGTTTATTTGGTGACTTGTTCATTTATTTGCAAAGATCATTCTTGTAATTTGGTTTTAAGTAGAGAGAATGCAATTGTACAAGAGTCACTGGTCAGTATCAAGCAAAGGTAATGGCCATTACCTATGCATCTAAGATGGCAGACTATTTCTGGTTACTGCATCACCGCATATCAGTTATCTTATCATCTGTAAAACCAAAATCCCAGTTACCTTCCCATAAGCGGAGGAAGATATCGTTGAACTGTGGTGTCTACACATAGTTCATGAACAAATGATCACACTCCGGAGTTTCCATGCCATATAAGCCTGATATAGTTCAAATATCGAAGCATTACGTCAACTATAAAGTGGTTTAATTCGTTGAAAACAAAAAATACCGAAATCAATGCTAACCGTCCGCCATCTTAGATGCGAAGGTTACGGCTGTTACCTTCACTTAATACTGACCAGTGGAAGTACAAATAACAGTGGAAATACCAAATTTTTGCCTGAATCAAACCAAAAAATAAGATTCTAACAGTAAATATAAGCACACTGAAGAAAAACTGCTGTAAAATGATACTGCCCCTTTTGTCAATTTTTTTATTTGAGCTGAGATGTCATTTGGAAACATTAAATGCTAAATGCTGGTAGGTAGATGGCCATTACATTTGGTAATTGTCGCAATAATATTTTAAAGGTTTGATAGTTGTATAACTTTTTTCCACTGGGCATATACATGTTTATAGAGATTATATTGGATTGGGACCCAACATTAGTATTATTCCTGTTTAATGGATGTGACCACATATTCAGAGATTGTTTGTTTCACCCAAGTTACTGCTTCAATTAAAAGATGTCTCTGATTTCCACATGCTCTGTCATTCCAGTGGGATTTCATGGGATGTACAGGACAGACTTTTATTGGTCAAAAATCACTCAACCATTATATTTGGACTTTCGCTATTGATAACAAAGTTTTGCTTCAGTTGCTTTTAGGAAAGTTAATGCTTGAAGTATGTAAACTGTTAAGCAATTTATTCAATCAGTCATTATTATGAAATCTTGATGGAACATATGCCAAACAGATGACTGAACATTTATCTACGATGCTTCTTTTTTGTTTGTAGTTCTTTATGATTGTATGCCTATTGTTGTGTTTGTTTATCTTTTGAGTAGGGGGTTGAAATACACTGTATTTTATTTGCACATTGATCTTTAGAATAATCAATCTGAAAGGTAATAAATTTTTATTGTGTAAACTCCACTTTCGTTTTGATTATTTGCTTTATACCGTTGTTTTGGTTATATCACTTCAGTTTTTTAAATGTTTTCTTTACTTTCGTTTTCATTAAAGGTTTAAATACTGTCTAAAAATTAATTTAGGGACATATTCATTAAATAAGAAAGAAATCTGAAATACTGATGCCAAAGAACATAGAATATATGTCAATCATGGAAAGAACCAAGGAATTATCAAAATGACAGTGTAGCGTTGCCACCATTTTTTCTGGGAAAATGTTACATGTTTGATAACTCAGTCGCTGGTAAAATTGAAGAACTCAAAGATGATATCAGATATGGTTTAAATCAAAAGAAAAACAGTTTATGTTAACTCAAATATCAATTTTTGATAAAATGTTTTATGTGGTTGGATCTACTACTCTGAGAATCGCTCAGTTTCTCTAGTACATGTATACCAAAAAAGTCTGTTATTATGAGGCATTTTGCAACATTTTTGTATGCAACTCCTGCAATTAACGTAACTCTGTATGTGACCCTTGCAAAAATTTGATTTTGTCTATAACCCTTGCAAGTAATTGTAATTTTGGATGTTACCTTGGCAAGCTAATATAATTTTGCATACAACATTACCCTTGTACATAAATGTAATTTTGTATGCCTTTTCTAGGTCCCAAATTTTGGCACTACTGAATTCTGCCAAGGTCGAACTATGCGATGGGGTATTGGATGGTCATTTGACAAAAGCATACAATTTCCAGTAAGTAGTTTGCTCACATGTATATTGCGAATGAACCCTGTCAAGAGGAAATGATTGTTCTATCAAAAGTTCATCCTCCATTCACAGGGCTTCAAAATCCAGAATATATTCTTTCATTTTACCCCTGTGATAAGTGCAGTTAGCATTTCCCCGATTAAGAACTCGCAATCTGATTGGCTGTCGCAACACTGCGACGGAAATCATGTATAAGTCATTGGGCATAATTAGATCACATGATTCAGTTTAATCGGGCGCTTCCAAATTGGTTATAGCAGGGGGAAGAAGGAGGTACGAATTCTGGATACCTGTAATAGGAGGATGTCAAAAGTTTATCTATCAAAGACATTTCTAAGATAAATATTACGCTGTAAATGAATAAACACAAGAAGCTCACGAGTCTTGAACTTACAAACTCATGGTTACGGTGATACCCCCTTGCTGAAAGTGTTCGGTGAAGACTGCCAACTCGACAATCCCAAGAAAGGTTGTTTTATCAGCCAATCTGATTAGAGGGAAAAGGTGTAACGTCTTGACTACTCAGAGTGAAGAGTGACAATTAAAATTGATTTAAAATGTGTAAAAATGATCTATGCCAACTAATTTCACTAAATTAAACATCATTGTATGTGTATAGAAGTGAAATATCAAAAGATGGCCAAAATGAAAAATTCTCTGGTTTCAACCAACTTTAGAGCCTGTGATTCAAAATAACAATATCTTGAGGCTCCCTCACAGATTTTACTGCATCTTACTTTTAGAAATCCCATATGCAGGAAGAACAGAAAAAGAAGCGACCTCCATTGACCTTTGACCTTGCAGTGTCAGATGAAAAGTTTGACCTTCACTCAGTGAACCTAAAGATGATGTCATGGATTTCAGACTTACAGGTATATTTAGAAATATAACACTGAAGTTTTAGCACTTTCAAATATGAGCCTCAACATAGTACGAAAACAGGTCTTATCACAAAAATTAAATCGTGCTATAGAGCCAAAAATGTGCCCAAGATTAAGAGAAATCAAATCCATCTTTTTGGTCTATATCTGCATTGAAAAACTGTTAAGACATGAGCCACGGCCTATTTGAAAGGTGTCATTGTGCTTTTTAAGATAAACAATTGACTCCTTCTTTAGATAACAGTAAAATGTAGTGTGCACCTAAATAATATCACATACTTTGACATTGTACCCTCTCAAGATTACCCTCTCAAGTTACCCTCTCATTATTATCCTGACAGTGAAATATTCTACAAATGATTATTTTACAATTGTGTCATACCATTTTAAAATATCATAGATTTTGACATATTTTAATTTGTAAATTATACATATTCAAGCTTAGATATTTCAGAATTTTTGAATGGTGAAAGGTTGTGCATTAGGTTAACTCATTCAATACTGGAGCAAAAAGCACTATAATACTGACGAATTTTTGAAAATTCCCATATATGGTACCTCTGAAATAATATATATAGTATATACATGGGCATACATATATAGTGTTATGTATCATTTTAAAGCATATGATATACTCTTTCAGAATGAATAGGTTTTTAAGTCCCATTTTACAAGTTGTCATGGTTACAAGATTAAAAAATGCATTGGGTTTGTGCTTGGACGTGATATCACGTCCTTAGTTAGTCAATGTATGTGCTTTATGACGTCATATCACGTCATTCGTAGCGAATGAGTTAAAGGTTAACCCTCTTGTGTTTAAGTTTGCCAGAAGAGTCACCAAGCATCTTTAATTTGAAATACCCTCTTCACATTGTGATAAAGAAATAAAGATAAACATCTTGGACATTATTTTGACATTTTATTGAACACACGTACAAGGGCTCGATACCACAGTTGTATTAAAAAACAGATATAACACAGACACATAAGAGCTGAAAAATTATATCCAATTAGTAACATGTACATGTACATTATATCTTGAATGCGTGCAAGCGCCAATGTGAAAGTACCAAAAAATTATCGTATGATCTGTTAAATGAAGCCCTCTGATTGGTCAGTTATTGTGCTGTACCAATCTGTATTGCTACTGAGATTGTCCCTGTTGATCATCTCCGTCGCAATACGGAAAATATTGGTACGGTGGGGACAGTCTCAGTAGCAATACAGAGGAGCACACAATAAAAACGTTATTGAATGATTTGAAGTGCAGTACATGATATATTCTGTCTGGATATTATGTATTGGCACTCGACTTCGTCTCATACCAATACAAAATTTCTCGAACAGAATATATCCTGTATTGCACTTCAAATCATTCAATAACTTATATCGTGACAGAACACAGCAAGAAAATAACATCTAAGAGTACACCAGTCATAAAAATAGAAGATATCAATTGACAGTATTTGATTGTTGTATTAAAGGCAGAATCTGATCTATAGGGGGTGACAAAATTACAAGCAACATGACTAATTGACCTACAAATTTATTCCTTACAATATCTAATACAATATCTCCCAAAAGATTCACGATCTGTTATAAATTGGTGAAGTTATTAATGATTCAAAGTGCAAAAATGAGTGAAAAATGTTTAAATTCTCCCAAATAATAAGAATGGTTACCATTCTTATAGAAAAATGATACATTATTGTAAAAATCTTTAGTTTTCCTGGAATAAAGTATGCACTTTTGTGATTTTTAGAAAATAGAAATGACAAGGAATGACATGAGCCAAAAATATTCTAAAATTGAAACAATTTTTTGTTTAGCCTGCTCGCTATATCTGATTCTCTCTTTAATAATTCAACATTGTTATTTAGATACACATCTTTTGAATGAAATATTAAAGACCATATGCTGGCACTGTTTTCCACAATGTGAATATAAAAAAAGAAAAATTTAAGCTTGCTCATGAAATTTAACAAATGGTAACATGAGTATGATGTTCTACTTATGTTTAGAATGTTTTCCTGGAAATTTTGGTTTCTATGCACTGTAGAATGTTCTGGGAATATATTGCATTGACTTCTCCACTGTTGATGCCAATGTCAAGTGTTTTGATTCATACATATATATTATATATTTTTTACATTATGACTCATAGGTTTTTTGTTTGTCAACTGGTTTGGGAATTCCAAATCAATAATATATAGAGATTGATTTCTTAGCTGCTCTGTCATGATTATACAATAGTGACATTGATTTTGTTGGTCCATAAAATGTATCCATGATATTGATGTACTGTAGTGTGTAGTCTGTTTCGTGTCCTTGTATACATGATGTCATTTTATTCTTCAGTCTGAGAGTTTTCCCTCAACTCGTTCAGCTAGTTTGACTTTATTTGCATCTCTAAGGGCTTTAGCCAGTACTTTTCGTTGGTTCACACTTGATTCCTGTCTGTTCCTCCAGCTGACAAGCATGTTGAATCCCCACGGATTGGCATTTTGAGGACTGCTCGCCTTCAAGGTTTGCACCTCAGCTGGGCTGATTTTAAGTCGAGTGGCAACCTCTTCTATATTATTTCCCAATTCCTTGCCAATGTCAAGGAGGTCAATATCGGTCAGTTCATCTGGAAAAATAATTTGGAAAGTTTGACCATTCTATATTGAAGTATTGAGATAAATTGTGAAACGTCAAAGTTATGTAAATTTTGTCAATCATTGATCATTTCAGTGCAAATAATTCTTCAAAAATGGATTATATGTCATTTATAAATGAATCACATCTTAAACATGGATCCTTTTGTTATTATCTTCCCTGACTAATCCCTGGGATTAGAGTATTTTGTGTGAATTTTAATGTTTTGTTCAAGAATTATGTATATATTTAATTCCATATATGCTGCTTATGTATGTGATTTTGTGTAAATACAACATATTTTTACGAAGAAATGGTCTTATCTATACTTCTCAAGTTCACAGAAACATAAGCACTGAAGGTTGTAACATTAATAAGTTTAAACAATCTATAAAAAAACTATTACTTACAGATTTTAGATATTAACTATAAATAAATTACAGTTATATTTATGATTGTGTATATATGAAGCAAACTCACCTGACATTGTCAAAATTGATCACTTTCTTTTTCTCTATAATAAAGCTCTCCTACGAGGTGTTCAATATTGAACTGAAGTTTAACATTGTGTTTAATACCTAATACCTGCATTAAAAAGAAACTAAATATATTTGATTCACCTATGATATATGAAACACCTGATAAGCTTTGTGTGAAGCAAAATCCCATAATACATGATATGAAAAATCTTCTTAGTAATTTCGTATATCAGGTGTTTCACTAGAATTTCTCACAACAGGCTAAATAAATGAAAACAGGCAAAATTAATGGAAATCATAAATTTAACATGGAAAAGTTGAAAAGTCCCTAAAAACAACAGGCGATTTTGTGAAAACAACCAGTGAAAATCGCCTGTTGCCTACTGCTAATGAAACCCCTGTATATGATGAGAGTTTTAATAAATTTGGATCTGAATAATTTTTGCACACATGATTTATATCTGCTTACCTATTGGTCTATCAGAATGGTAAAATTTTTTTGCATGCTTCTGAATTCTGTTACAAAACAGGGTCTCGTTGATGAGTATCAAGTACACCCATAGTGGAAATTAATCTATCCATAAAATGATAGGGGAGGGGGGGGTCTAAAGTATATGAAAAAGTAATATTATGTATTGTATATGTGGACCACAAAGCAACTATTGTCACAATAAGATAGAAATACTGAAAATGGTAAAAAATAGAAAAATGTATATTGTGTTTTGGGATAACAAAACATAATCAATAAATGAATGAATAAGTTTGAAGATTTCCAAATTCCAAATTTTCTTTTAAAGTCTCAGTAATAAAAATGTTCAGTTTTGAAAATATATATGCTATATGTATGTCATGATTACGATAGCAAAGAACATAATGCATAGCTGATGCTTATGGGGTATGTTCTTGCTTTTATGAAGCAGAAATTGTGTTTTACACTTTGCGACCAACCTTTACAATATTATTTGGGGCTTCAGTATCAGGCACCAACAATACTTGAGGATATTGTTATGAGATACATGAACTACCAAGTTGACAGGATTTTATATTTGGAGAAAGTTAAACTTGTTTTAGGGACGTGGTTACCCATATTCAAGTACACAATCTTTTAAATTATGTATATTAGATACTTTGGTTTATTTTCAATTTAAAAATGCTCATTTAATGTACAATTTCCAATACAATTTGGTACTTATTATTGTCACTCATTTATAAATCCAAACATTGTTTGTAATAGTTCTATGGTTATCATAGTCCATGTTTAATGTCTATTCTGTGATTCTCCACTATCATCTTCGTCTGCATGTTTCAGTTTGTGTTTAAGTCACTCAGCTCACTCCTGAAAGGGAAATCCATAATTAATTGCTAAAAGAAGAAAATTGAAAACATTAACGTTAATAATATTAAATTCATTCAAAGGATTTTTTCAATGGCCAAATGTTTGTATCTTTTTGAAGCATTATAGTTTTGTCACAGGTCACTTCATTATATCTAGCTGTAGCTCCTGTAGCTTTATGTTTGTGTGCAAGTTGAAGGAAATATGTGCATGTACATGTACTTACGTTTTCAACCTTAAGAGCAAGGTCAACTCTTTCTCCTGCTCTAAGTGCTTTGGCCAGTTCTTTCTTGATTGTCGCATAATCTTGTACTTTTTGTCTCTGTTGCCAAGATTTCAATAACTTAAAGCCCCATACTCCAGCATTATGCGGGTCACTTAATTTGATGGTATCCAGTTCTGCATTTGTAAGTCCAAGATGGATACCAACTTTAAGGAAGTCATTCCCTAGTTGTTCAGCTATCTCAAGGAAAAGTGTGTCAAGTCTTTGATCTGAAATCATGTAAAGAACACTTTCAACATCATTCCTACCTTCAGATTTT